GTGTGGGTACAAGTCTCTGGATGGTCCACTGATTCTCAATTTGATGCCTTGAACACTCCACCATTGAAGGGCCTCCGGGTTTCAAGTGGCTTGATCTTCAAAGAAGGGCTTGTATATATAGCTTGTTCTTCTTGAAGGGCCTCCGGGTTCAAATGACTTGATCTTCAATGGAGGTTTGGATCAACATGCATGGCTTGATCTTCAAAGGAGGTTTGGATCAACAGGGAGGATGGACTTTTACTTTTAGCATCACATTTTATTGTGATCTCTGAATAAACTTGATGTTTCTATGAATTGTTCCTAAGATCTGTGTGATTGCATAGAAATGAAAGACCCAATTTATAGCTGTAGGATAGAGAGTTTTGATAAGCTCAAACTCTTTTGATATTATCTAATTAACAAATTAGATAATATCAATATCATCCATACAGAAATTCAAATATACTAATATTGATAAATAATCAATATTTATCAAAATTTAAGTGTCAACATCGATTTCTCACATAATTATGCATCTTTATGAAATAGCGCATAGTGCATTCTTGCATTAAGAAGACATAATGTGCAACAAGTTTGACCAACAACGTGTTGATAAGTATCAAACATGTGACGTTCAGATATAAGAATTATATCTCACCCACTTGACCACCAGGTCACCGATTTGGTGCATTCTTTTTATTTTCTTTCACTAAGCAATGCAAACTATTTCATGCAAATTAGAATTAGAGGACATTTGGTTCACAAAATATTGAATTACATTATTTAAGTTATATTACACCTATGTGCTCAAATTTTATTTTATTTGGTACCATGGAGAAGGCCAAGGCCTTCGCTAAGGAATCCTCCAGGTCAACGTGCCCCAGCATCAACTCGTAAGAGATCAATAAGGTAATTCAGAGAATCTTCAAAGATGATTGTCGTCTCCCAAACACTAAACTGACTAATGTTAGCTAGTTTGTCAGTACATTTATTGTCCTCCCTCCAGGCATGGGAAAATTGCATTATATACATATAGTTAAAATTACAAAGATATAAAAAAAAAATAGTTTGAGAAATGCAATTTTAATAATGTATGAATAAGATAAGTTTTTAAATGTAAGGAAGTATTATAAAGATAAGGATAACATTCTAAGCATGTGTTGCACACAGCTCACGTACTCCTAAATGTTGCTTCATAATATTTTGAATTCCAGAAGAAAATGGAAATCTTTGCCGACTTGTGATATACATACGACCATCCTTAAACATTATGTGTTGCACATATCCCAAAATTTCATATCAGCTCCCAACCCATCCCTGCCCTTCCTTCCTGGCAAGAAATATAACATTGGATCTGGATGGGCAAATTATATCTTACACAGGACGCACAATGCATTGTGCGCTCTGACCAAAACGACGTTGTTTTATATATATATATTTTTAAAAATTCTGTTTTCGGTTTCTGTCATTAACTTAAAAAAAAAAAGTTCTCTTCATATGTACATAATTGTAGAGTAGAATACACATAAATTCATAATACATAATACACATAACTCTTAACATAATATACATAAAATCTTAACATAAAAAAAGACGCCGTTTTGTGCCGGGCGCACAATGCATGCATCCTGATGTACGATATAACGATTGATCTGGATGCATGCATCCTACTTTCCATTTGGGCCGCTCAAACGAGGACATGTATTTAATGTATTATATATTAGGTAAATTATATTTTTGTATAACATATATTACACTAATCATATTTATAATTTGGAAAAAAGAAAAGAACAAATACGTCCTTAAAATTTACTCTATTAGTCTCTTAAATTTTCAAAAGTTACAATTAAGCTTTTAAACATATTATTTTAAAACATGACTTAAAAATTGATTGACGGATCTGACCAACTTCTGGCTGGACTCCAACCATATTCTGCCAAAAATTAAAACACCAGTGAAACGGTGACTGGTGTCGATTGGTTGCCTTCTCCGGCGAAGGAGACGGCAGACCAACTAGTTTGAAAATTCTCCATTCTTTGAAAATTGAAAGATGACAAGAACTTTATTAATTACTACAAATCTAGCTAAGCTAGTTATCAGATTTGGTTTCACTCGGGAACGTTCGATTGATTGCATTTATTGCTCCCAACTAACAACACCTCCATTAATGGTCTGATCTCGCAGAACACAGTAAGACTGTAAGAATCTCCCGTTCACACCATCAAAATTTCTGCTATAAATTCACCCCTCGCATGCTCCCCACTCCATCACCCCTCGCTAGCATCTATAAATCTCTACAAAACCTTCCCTTTTCCAGATAGATTATCATCAGATCAGAAGAATGGCGGCAAAGCTTAGTTTGGTTGTTTGCTTTGCAGTGTTGTGCATGGTTGTGGTTGCGCCCCATGCAGAGGCCGCCATGAGTTGCGGCACGGTGGCGAGTGGCTTAGGCCCTTGTCTCAATTACCTCAAGGGCACTGGACCTTTGGTCGGAGGCTGCTGCAACGGCGTTAGGAACCTAGCCGGCGCAGCTAAGACCACCGCTGACCGCCAGACCGCTTGTGGATGCCTGAAATCCTTGGCCGGCAGAATCTCCGGCCTTAAACCTAACCTCGCCTCTTCCCTCCCTGGAAAATGCGGCGTCAATGTCGGCTATCCCATCAGCACCTCCACCGACTGCTCCAAGTAAGCTGAGCCTCAGCTCATTCCTTTCTTTTTTTTCTTGGATGACGAGAAAACACGCAGTCACAGCTGCAGCTCAACAAAAAGTCTAAGCTGATAGTTGGATTGCATAATAATGAAAGTTGGATTGCACATTACTGGTTATATGCTCAACAATATCACCTTATGACCTTAGTTAACAAATTAAAGGACCAAATAAAACAATCTGGATTGTCCATAACTAAGCGACTCAAATCGAAAAAAACCATTAAACTGCTCTTCTTGAGAGTGCACAGACTGACCAACTTTGCTGGGTTGCTCCATTTCTTTTGTATAGAACGTAAAAGTAGGGTTGAAACTGATCTAACTTGTGTTTTTTTTTGTTTGGAACTATGATTTATGTTGCAGGGTTCACTAGAACAGATGGGAGAGTGCATGTTTTCTCAGACGACCGGAATATATAGCAACATCATCATTATCATCATAAGAATAATATATGCAGAGGAATAAGATAGGGATCATATCTTGTTGTGATCCCTGCAGCTAGGGATCCGATTTGTAGGAAACCAGCTTTCAACTATGTTTTTTTTTTTAATGGTCTTTTGTTTTAAGTTTTGATGTTTTACGTAAGGTTGCTCTGTCTGGTCTGTACTGTATGTGTCGCAAATATGAATGGTGATCCATCTGTACTTCACTGCTATTTATATATAATCTATATATCTATCAGATTTATCCACCACAGTTTTCTTATATGTTACTTCATAAGCATGTGTTGCCCAAAAGATAATAACTCTAAATAACTAAACAGGTTATATATTCATATATCTTATTATCTTATGTTATTTTTTGAGTGACGAGTAAACGTACTATTAGTCACAGTTTGAAAGTGTCCGATAAAAGACCACAATGAGGTCAACTAGCCTAGATTATCTATAAATGATCGACTCAAACTAAGGCGGCAACGATTCGAACTAGTGACCTTGTGGTTACAAGCCCATTTTGGTGTAGGTAACTTTGCTGACAAGCTCAAATTGAAAGGACAAAGATTCAAACTTGTGATATTGTAATTACAAGCATTGATCTCTTATCATCCCGGGTTTATCCCTTGATTATATCTTATGTTGTTAGAACTAAATGTTGTTTAATGGTATTTTAATTTCAAGAATAAAATGAAAGGCCAGCGATACAACTCATTCCTAAACATGTGTTACACCCAACGTAACTCACTCCTAAATGTTGCTTCATAATATTTTGAATTCCAAAAATAAAATGGAAATTAAATCTTTGTGGACTTGTGATATATACTACTCATCCTTAAACATGTGTTGCACATGAATATCCCAAAATTTCATACTGGTCCCATCGCATATTCGCATCCCTGCCCTTCTTGCCAGGCAAGAAATATAAGCATCCCATCAATAATTTTTCTTTATTTTTATGCTTTGTTGGAAGTGAGAAATGATGATTTGTTAAAAAAAGAAAAAATTACATTTGCAGTAAAATGATTTTTTTGTAAAACCTGCACGGAGAGAACAAAAAAAAAAAAAAAAAAAAAAAAAAGCAATAAAACCAGGAAATAAAAACCTACAAAAAATCATGACTAATGGCCTTGCTCTAACACGGGATCTGGATGCATGCATGCATTCAATTTGAGCTGCTAGGCCCACTACACACCATGTGCATTAGGGTAAACTATATATACTCATGTGTAAGATAAATTACACTAGAAGAATTCAATGGAATAAACTTATAACTTTCATGTATGATCGAAAATTATGTTTTATCTACTTACCCACCCTTTTTTAGATTTTTTTTTTTTTTTTTTTTTGGTTTGGTAATGGGTTAAACTTACCATCATTACCAAAGAGCATACATTGGGTAAATTCCGTCTTGTGACCGTAGTTAGCTAAGAGCTACAATGAGAAAAACTAACTTGCTAATAGCTTATCCGCTAAAACTAGTTGCCCACAATGGACTAGCTCAAACCAATTCAGAAGGACAATAGTTCGTTCTCATAGGGGACAGAATTTGTAATCTTGTAGTTAACAAGTAAACAGTTTGATGATCAACTTGGCTAAAGGTACTCTTAATTTTTTGATTTTTTACTTTTTATTAATGTGGCATGCATGTTTTGATTAATTCAATAAAAAAAAATCAAAATTGAAACATAAATGACAAAATTTTTACTAGAAATCTAGCTATCACTTTCCTTTCACTCTGGGCAACGTTTGATTGATTGATTGCATGCATTTATTGGTCCCAACTGCCAACAGCTCCATTAATGGTCTCACAGTGTACAGTGACACTAGCTCCTCCGTTCACACCATCAAAATTTCTGCTATAAATAAATCCCCCAGCCATTCTCCCACTCCATCACCACAATCACTACTACTTAGAGCATCTGCAAAGCTCAGCTACACATATATATCCTGTCTTTCATTCCCAGATCGATCAGAGGCAATGGCGAATCTTAGTTTGGTTAAGGTTGTTTGCGTTGCGGTGTTGTGCATGGTTGTGGTTGCGCCCCACGCAGAGGCCGCCATTACTTGCGGCACGGTGGCGAGTAGCTTAGTCTCTTGTTTCAAATACATCAAGGGCACTGAACCATTGACCGCAGCCTGCTGCAAAGGCGTTAAGGATCTCGCCGCCGCAGCTAAAACCACCGCCGACCGCCAGACCGCTTGCAACTGCCTCAAATCCCTGGCCGGCAAACTCTCCGGATTTAACCCTGGCCTCGCCGCCGGCGTCCCTGGAAAATGCGGCGTCAACGTCGGCTATCCCATCAGCACCTCCACCGACTGCTCCAAGTACTATACTCCGGCCTCTTTCTTTTCTTTCTTTTAATCTATTGGAATAAAGTTTAAATTGGCCACGGAACGTAACTTAAAAATACAATTAGGTCATTGAACGAAAAAAAATGTTATTAGACCACTAAACACTCTAAAAATCATACTCTAAAAATCAATCAGGTTGTTTATAGCTGACCAGTTAATTAAATCTAAGAACTTGTAATCTGACGATTTCGCTATATGTTTTTGTTTGATACTATGATTATTTGTGTTGCAGGATTCACTAGAACAGATTATGGGAGAGTGCAGGGTTTCTCAGACAGGCCATTACAGAGAACTACGACGACCGGAATAGTGACATCATCGTTATTATCATAAGAATAATATATGCAGAGGAATAAGAGGGGGATCATATCTTTTTGTGATCCCTGCAGCTAGGGCTCCGATTTGTAGGAAACCAGCTTTCAACTATGTTTTTTCTTCTTTTTTTTTTTTTTAATGGTCTTTTGTTTTAAGTTTTAACGTTTTACGTAAGGTTGCTCTGTCTGGTTTGTACTGTGCCGCAAATATGAATGGTGATCAATATGTACTTCACTGCTATTTATAATCTATATATCTATCAGATTTAACCACCACTGTTTTCTTGTATATATACACACACACGCACTCGTTCAAAAGCACACTATCACTTTAACATGAAATAATTTAAACAAATTTCTGCAAAAGATCATTTTTATTAAACAAAAATAATGTTGGACTTACTTAATTTGGGTACGAAGGAAACCTGTAAATTAAAGGTGTGTACAGAGTAAACAATACTCCTATGTAATAACTTATAAATGATATATAAAAAAATCATGTGCTGCAAGCTCAACTAAGATACCTTCTATTAATTTACTCTCTTGTCTTTTTCTTATTCCACTAAAATTAGAAAGGCATGTGCCAAATTAAAATCACAAAAAATATAATTAATTTGTCAAGAATTGAACCATCCCTTATCAACACCTCATAATCCGCGCATAGCATTACACCGATATGGAGATTTAGGGTGTGGTTAAAAATCAGGAAAATGATTTTTGAAATTATTTTATGAAAAAAGAGATTTCTCAAAAAAATATTATATTATCATTTTTAGAACTGTCTTTGGTGTGTTTTGTTCATTTTTTAAAAAGAGAAAAAAAGGTCAAACACCCTAAACTTTATCTTGTCAACTCCGAAGATAAAATTGATTATTGGCGACTGTTCGACCTATCATCTTCCACCAGAGATGGAACGCAACCGGTTGGTCAACCACTGGTCACCTTCTCCGATGGAAGGTGACCAGTTGGTAGCCGAGGAGATAGGTAAGAGAATATGGCTCATGATTAATATTCGGGGCAAAGAGAAGAAGCCTTGAAATGACTTCCCTTTAAAAAGAAAAATCATTTTTCAAAAAAACAAAGTGATTTTTCCTTTAATCAAAATTAATTTTTTATAATTTTAATTTTTCAGACCTTGTCAAACACTAAAAACTCAAGAAAATAATTTATAGAAATTATTTTCCAAATTTCTAAACACACTATAAGAAATTAAATATGTAGATTAGTTGACATAAATAGTAGGATTTACTTTTTTCTACCAATCTAAACATGACATCTAGATCGACATCACAACCGACAAGAGTAAAAGAGATTCCTTACGTACGTACACTTATGACTTACCACAAGTTGAAAGTTCATACCTCACTGGGCATTGGCCAATTGAAGCAGTATTTAATGCAGAGGAAGTATGAGCCATATATGGCGTGCACGTATCTCCAAATTTCATCAGCACAAGAAAGAAATAATATTATTACAATTCCATTATTTCACATCTCAATGCCCAGGCCATTCAATGCTTTCAATCGGTTAGTTGAGTTGGAAACTCCCAAATATGACAAAAGGATCGGATAATTAAACAAGAGACTTGAGGACGAGGAACGTTATGCTGTAAGCACGTGTCCACCTCAGAAGGTAGGCATAATTTTATATTCATAATTTATATATTGTAGATTCATAATTTTTATATAGTAGATCAATAATTTCTATATTGTAAATTCATAAAATTTATATTTTAGATTCATAATTTTTAAACCGTAGATTCATAATTTAAATACAGTAAATTCATAATTTGTATACAATAGATTCATAATTTGTATACTGTAGATTCATAATATCTGTACTGTATATTCATAATTTATGTACTATAAATTCATAATTTATAAACTATATAGTTATCAATTATAAACATATAGTTCTCTGATTTGTGAAAATAGAGTTCAACAATTAAAATCTAAAGTATAAATTTTATGAATCTACAATATAGAAATTATGAATCTACAATATAAAAATTATGAATATGAAATCGTGCTCACCTTGCAACGTGGGCACGTGCTCATAGCATAATTTGCCCAACGTTGAGGGGTAAGATAGATCTAAAGAACAATGGCGTATGGTAGGGCCCAAAATTCAATTCAACAATAAATTCTTAGCCCACTGAAAGCGAAATCCTCTCATATCAAGGGGCCAATATGATTGTGAATAAATAAGTTACAGCGATTCAATAATTTATTAGGTGAGAGGATCAATACGTATATAATGTTGCTTCTTTATCATAATTTACCATTCAAGAACTAATTAAGCTACGTTACTTAAGTGGACTATTAAACGCTATATTCTGTTTTAACTACTAGTATTATGTTTAATACTAGTAAGTACATTTTATCTAACTAAAATTTTAAGTTAATAGTTGAACTATATATTTATTATTTACCTATCATATTGTTTGCGTTCCAATTTAGGTATGGTTCATACTTCACAGAATTCAAATCTTGACCCACAATCTAGGTTTAGTTAATACAGCGTGCTTATAGATTAAAATTTGTTGTTATATATTGTTGTTAACTAAGTTCAAGAGACTTGACCAATGACCTTGTGATCTAGTGGTACGAAATAACTTTTTTTAAATGAGAGATCATAAATTTAATTTTCAATAATCATAAATTTAATTTTCAATAAGAACAATATTGATTCTTAATTTGTGTTGTAGGTTAAGAAAGTAATTTATGAAGATATATATCATTATAATAGAGTTACTCAAAAAGTTCACATAAGACTTGAATTTATTACCGAATATGACAAAGAGACTTGAATTTGTTACCAAATATGACATTAATGGACAATTGGTAACCTAGTCGATCCCCGCCTAACTAGGGATGGAAATAGGTCCCAAATAGGGACCTATGACTCAACCTAGTTTGACTCGATTCGACTCGACGGAAAAGCCAAGCTTGAGTCTATATTACTATCCATTTAGGTAAATATGCTATGTGAGAACATGCTCCCATGTAAAAGGTGAGGACTGGTATGATCAGTCCTTGAGGATTTCTATAAAATAAGGGAAGAAAATGAGTTTCAGTTCATTTTATAATTATTGAAACTTGAAATTTTCAATAATATTAAATTGACTCAATCATTTTTTTATTAAAACTTTCAATAATTGATGAACGTAATCTTACTGGACAACTGATGAGATATGTCCTTACTTTTTCTAGGAAGACCAAGGAGGTTATTCTCATTTGAGTTCACCCATGTGTGTGAGAGATGTATTAGCACGTACATGTATAACCCAATCTTAGAAATCCAATTTTAAATAGCCCATTTTATATATTTGTAAAATGTATTAGCCCAATGTATGCTATTAAAGCCATTAATGTTTGTGTGACTTTATGATTTCATTGTGTATGAATTGTTATGGACTTATGATTTTTTTATTTTTTTTTAATGATTCTGGACTAGTTATTGTGTTTGGTTTGAACTTGTTTTAAACTAGGCGATGCCATTTTATATGAGCTTGTAAATATAATGTACTAGTTAGTATGTTTGAATGATTGCACTGCACTTAGGTTGGTATGTAATTCTGGAGATTGTGATTTGTGATTTTTGAACTTAGTACTTGTGTTAATGTATTGTAATGATCAATTTTTATAATTGTGTAATTAAATTTTTTGAATTAAATTAATTTTATTATTTTTAGATCTTTTAAACATGTCTCATACGAGACTAAATCCTTGGTTGTTAGGTTTACGCTTGAACCAAAAATAAAGCACACTCATATAAGCTCAAGTGGCCTAGCTAAGCTCAAACCCTAATCTCACAATTGTTATACAATGAATTGATATTCATCTTACATTGTATATCTTAATTTAAAAATTACGTGTTTCCAGTTGATATATTATATACATATAACTAATAATTTATGTGTATATAAATAAATTAAAAACATAAAATATATTATTACAGATATGATGAATCAGATCGAATCACGAAAATATTAAATAATACGAGAATTATTGTTCTCTTTTAAAGCCGAGTACCACCTGTAAGAAAAGTTGTTGCGGAGAATAAATGCACAGGTTCTACAAGCTTCCGGGTTGTGGGGGAGACAGATTCATCTGCTGACAAATGTTACTCAGTAAGTTAATGTAAATTATTATGTGTGGTTGAGTTTTTCTTGCATTCTTTAATTCCATTTATGAACACATAGTACGGAGTGTCGAGTATATCCATTAACCTTTGACAATATGCATGTGCATAGCATCAATGAAAGACAACGATAATCTCAAAGGCGTGGTTAATTGAGTGAAAGGTTCATTCATTCTTAATCAAAGGTTAAGGGTTTAATTTTATATTTTGAAAATAAAATATGCTTAAATTTTTAGGCCAGCTATTTCATTTAAAAGAGAGGTGCCTACAATATAGTGAGGGATTAGTCATTGTGTTCGACGTTAAAAACGTTGAGTATACCAAAAAAAATAAATAAAAGACAAAGATGTCTTGAGGGGATCTCAACAGAGTTTGGATGGCTAGAGTTAGATAAAGCGTTTTTGCACCTTTGTTGCACACCCCCTCCCCCCCCCCCAAAAAAAAAAAAAAAAAAAAAAAAAAAAAAGGAAAGATGATTTGACTATTGATTTGATAAGTATAAAATCATAAGTTAAGTTAGATTTACCGTGTGAGCGGTCAATTAATCTTCTTGACTTGAGCGAATCAATTATGAGCAATATAAAATAATTTATATTCTTATGGCATCTGACAATTAGGATCACAAGACACATGATTTATCTAGTACATACTTGGAGTGGTGATTACTAATTTTCTTCTATCACTCAAAAGAAAAGAAAAACAAAAAAAAAAAACAAAGAAAGACAACGATATCTATTATAATTTAAAAGGAATAAGGGTCAAATAGGCCATCGAACTACACACCAAACTTCAATTAGGCTATTCAACTAAAAAAAACTACAATTGGGTCCCTGAACCGCGCAAATTCAAACAATTGAACCTAAAATGACCTGTTAACCGGGTAACTAGATGACGTGGCGGTTAATACCAAATTAATTTTTATTTTGAAAAATTATTTTAATAATTTGTAAGTAAAAAAAAAAAAAAAAAAAAAAGGAAAAACCCGCCGGCCACCCATTCCCTCCTTCGTTTCCACCGGAATTTACAAACTGCAATTACTGAATTCAGAATTGATAATGGGCCAATTATCCAATCCTCCCATGTGATTTTCAAGAATTGAAATTTCGATGGGCCAAGCTTGATATCATGTACGGTGCGGCGGCGATTGGGGCAAGAGTGAGGTGCAGCGTTTTGGAGACGAGCGGCGATTGACTTCATAGGCTAGACAAGCATGGGGATGCCAAAGATTAGGCCAATGGCGATGTTGTAGAGGGCGATGAAGATGAGGGCGGTGTTGAGAGTGAGCACCAACACGTACTATTCATCCCGGCGAAGACGAAGGAGGGAGAGGGGAAGGGGTGGCCGGCAGATTTATTTATTTATTTTTTTTTTTACTTAAAAATTATTAAAATATTAAAATAATTTTTTAAAATAAAAATTAATGTAGTAACCGCCACGTCATCTAGTTACCCGGTTAACAGGTCATTTTAGGTCCAATTGTTTGAATTTGCACGGTCCAGGGACCTAATTGTAGCTTTTTTTAGTTGAATGGCCTAATTGAAGTTTGATGTGTAGTTCGATGGCCTATTTGACCCTTATTCCTAATTTAAAATTATTTTGACTTTGTTGGATTAGTATTATTGGTTCACTGTCTAATACTATTAAGTATCATTAAATATGATTTTTTTTTTTTTTTTGGTTATATATACTTGAAAATGATGTCAATATAAGAAAAAAGAAAAAACATAAATCATTATTCAGATACTTACAATTATCATTTTTGATGTGTCATTTTTTTTATTCAACAAGTAAATTTCTTATTAGTTCAGAGTGGAGTTTGTCAATTTATCAGTAATTTATGATAATAAGATTTTTTTTTTTTTTTTTTTTTTTTTTGAGATGGCTAGCTAATAGAAAGTTATAATATAATGGTAGGGATGCGATGAATTTTGCAAAACATATATACACACCCATATATAGAAACTTACCAATATTTATGAGTGTTTGATTTGGATACTTTTAGTCCCAAAATTATAATGAAGCACAAAGAGTCAATAACATCTCCACTGAATTTCAATCTCAACATGTCATATGAGCACAAAGTATTTGACATAAATTTAATGCTTTAATTATTTGCAAAGCACATTTAGTTATTCAATTATTATTAAAGTGTGTCAAGAAGTTACTACAAATTTAGTCCTTAAAATATTAAATTCACCTTTTTGATAATAATTGAAGGACAAAATTTACATATCAAATAATTAAATTACTAAATCTTTACATTGATCATAATTGAGTGATTTAAAATACCATTATTGCAATACAACGAAAGATCATTAATTTATCAAAGAAAATAAATAAAATCCAAATTAAACATAATATTCAAAAAAAAAATAAACTTTACTTATGCATAATAGTTCACAAACTAGATAGAAAAGATAACCTTACATATTTTATAGTTAATTAAACATACATATATTAATTTCTGTTCACAATTGCATTGTCCAATAATACATCACCAAGATGTCCGCATGGACAGCTCAATTGGTCATAGGGGTGAAGTTTGAGAAGAATGACCAGGGATTGAGTCTCACCAGCGATAGTGTGAAAGCAACCTCTCAAAGTGAGGAGGGCTCCTTGTGCGTAGTAAAAAAAAAAAAAAAAAAAGATCTAGCCTCTGTGATTCAGTTGTGATTTAATTACATCTGGCGATTCAACCTTTTGGGAGGAAAAATACATCATTCATATTAAACCTAGCGTCACCAACTTTAATTTCTGTTATTTGTGTGCAAATGACAAGGTTTTTTTTAATACTTAAGTAATCCTCGCAACACCGGCGGCAGTGTGGGAGCAACCTCTCAAAGTGAGGGGCTCCTTGTGCGCAATAAAAAAAAGGTCTAGCCTCTGTGGTTTAATTCAGTGATTCAGTCGTGATTTAATTACATCCCCCCATATGCTTTGTCGGGGTTGGAGATTCAACCTTTTGGGAGGAATAATACATCATTCATATTAAACCTAGCGTCACCAACTTTAATTTCTGTTATTTGTGTGAAAATGACAAGGCTTTTTTTTTTTTTTTTAATACTTAGCAATCCAATTCAACTTCTACAGTGCCACATTCAGTCATGACATCAAGTCAGGTGACGAATCACTACACTAACACCCGTGACAAACTAAGCTTTTTTTTTTTTTTTTTTTTTTTTAATAAGAAGTATTATTTTCTACCTACAGAATCTCATTATTTGCATGTTATAGATAAAACATTTATTTAAAAAGCTCTAATTGAACCTCCAATCCTGTAGGGTTGTGGTTGTAGTTGTAGTTGTAGTTGCTAATTTTTTTATGAACTACTCACATTTTTAGATTATTAGAATATATAGTAGTTATTACGGAGTATAAATTTATTTTCGTGTGATAAGGAAAATCCGGGGTCAATATGCATTAGGTAAATTCGTTCCTATATAATAATCTACATATTAAGTCACTAGAAATTAAAATCCAGTGCTAACAGGTAACTTTCTGTTACGCAAATTTTGTTCCATTCATTCGACTGCATTTTTTGAAATAATTTGCACTGCTAAAAGTTTGAGTTTTTTTTTAACTACTTTTACTGATTAGCTAATAAGTGCATGTTTTAACCATTTATTGCGACGAAAACGCCTTTTACTAATTACTTTTTGCTGATCAGAAAAGTGGATTTCGGGTAATATTGCCATAGGTTCCGATCATATGCGACGGGGACGAGATTGACGAAAATGAACGGAAAGTTTGTCGGAAAAGAGCAAGTGTAAAACTAGCACGACTCACTCCGATCCATTATATTCATATTTCTGGAAACCACGTATTGAGTACACTAGCAGACAGTACGACAGAAAAAGAAACACAAACAGAAACCTATACTAGACGCCACCGGCCGGAAATCCTAAAGACGACGGCGGCGGACGACAATATATATATATATATATATATATATATATATATATATATATATATATATATATAACAAGAGCTGCACTCAAGGAGTCTGTACGCCATAGCATAGCTGGATAATATAATGTTCGTTTTTCCTCTTATTTAATCAACTCCATGATGCAGCATTTATCGTCTTCTCATGCTTACTGCACCCTGCGTACATTACAAAGAAAAGCAAAAAAAGTTATGTTAGAATAGTGAAAATCAAGTGTGATTAAGTACCCCTAAAACTCCAGTCAAGTTAATTAAATTGTTGAGCTGGTCAGCTATATAAATAATCTATACTGATTTACCTGTCAAGGTCACAATAGTCTACAAGTTTGACTTCCATAATAACTTATTGATGTTTCTTGGTTTAAACCGATAAGTTATATCAGGTTAGGGTCCAGGGCAATCAATACCGGTGTGGTGTCCCAAGGCCCCTCTTACCGCATAGACCAGCCTTAACCTATGTGAAATTGGTTTTTCTCTACCACGAGAACAAATGGCCGGGAGCTATCTTCGTCAATTCCCTGATGAGCCTATGGCAGGGGATCCTGGGACGTCGCATTGACGTTGGTGATTGTGCTGGACTCTAGGCCCGTGGCATATAAACCATCTAGTCCGGTTTACAAAGTTATATGTAATGGGGAAGAGTTAATAGTATAAGATACAACTTTTATATATATATATATAAAATGTTGAAAAGTTTGAGGGATTTTTAGTTGGTGTATAGTCAAGTAAGAATTATGTGTTTAAAGCTACAGTGTACACGTACGTTGCGCAGTTAGTGGAGAGGGAGATCTTGTAGGGAAGGGTAACGCCACATTTTTCCGGGAGGTTGGCGGCCAATTCGAGGTTTATGCCGGGGACAGAGGCGGCGGCGTTCTTCATGCAGTTGCAAACGGTCTGGCGGTCGGCGGTGGTGGCGGCGGATTTATAGAGGGATCTGATCCCGTCGCAGCAGTTCATCGGAACCGCACCGCCGTTCCTCACGTAGTTCATGCATGGGGACAATTCGGTTACCACGGTGCCGCACGTCACGGACTGTGCATGCAGGCCAGCCATCATCGCCGCCGCCACCACCACCATGGACATCACCACCATGCACGCCGCTTTTGCCATTTGGCCGTCGGTAATTTTGTTGAAATACAGACTTAATTAGCTTGGAGAAAGGTTTAGAATTGGAAGGGAAAGGAAGTAGAATGCTTTGTGTGAAGAATGGTTTAGGGAGAAGCTGTTTATATAGAAGAGGGAGGTTAGCTATAAAAATGTATATATGGTGCATGCACCGGCCTATTAGACTGATTTCCGGTCATTATTCAATTTTGTCATTCAAGTTTATATTAAAATCTGACAACCCTAACCCAAATCAGTTAGACTATTATTTTGATAATCACAAAGTTCAAAGTTTGACTTTCCGTAAAAACAGTCTATTAACTTTTTTGATTTGAGTCGATTAGCTATAAACAACCTAGATTGGTTTGAGACAGATTCATCTGCTGACAAATGTTACTCTGTAAGTTATATAAATTATTATGTGTGGTTGAGTTTTTCTTGCATTCTTTAATTCCATTTATGAACACATAGTACGGAGTATAGAGTATATCCATTAACCTTTGACAATATGCATGTGCATAGCTGCGCATCAATGAGAGACAACGATGTTTTGTCTCAATTAAATTGATCTCATTGTTAATTTGGTAATTACAAGATTATAAGTTAAATTTGATTTGCAATCTGAGCGGCTTTTGACTTTTTTTGGGTTAAGCCGGTTAATTATAAGCAACATAAAATGATTTACCTTAATTATGACCCTTTACAAATTGAGGTAGTCACAAGACACACCGTTTACCTACATACTTTTGAATAGTGATTACTAATTTTTCTCATCACTCCGAAAGAAAATGAAAGATTGAAAGACAACGATGTCTATTAATATCAACATTAATGATTTCAAATTATTTTGATTTTGTTGTATTAGTATTATTGGTTCACTGTCTAATACTATTAAGTATAATTAAATATATTTTTTTTTGGGTTATATATGGTTGACAATATAAGAAAAAAAGAACATAAATCATGATAGAGATTACTGCTGGAAATTATGGAATTTCCGACCACCTGAAAGTGATCTTAAATTAAGTCGAAAGTCTTGTTCCGACCATTTTTGGTATCTGGAAAAATCTTTGTTGCTGTTTCCGACCACTTTTTACTTTCGACTTGATTTAAGATCACTTTCAGGTGGTCGGAAAATCTCGTGCTCTCAAGTATTTTGTTCCACTCATTCGACTACCCTTTTTGGAATTAATTTGCACTGCTAAAAAATTTGAGTTTTTTTTTACTACTTTTACTGATTACCAAATAAGTGCATGTTTCAACCACTTTTTGCTGATCAGAAAAAGTGGATTTCCGGCAATATTGCCATAGGTTCCGAGCATATGCGACGGGGACGAGAATGATGAAAATGAACGGAAAGTTTGTCGGAAAAAAGCAAGTGTAAAACTACCACGACTCACTCCGATCCATTCATAAATATTTCTGGAAACCACGTACTGAGTACACTAGCGGACAGTACAACAGAAAAAGAAACACCAAACAGAAACCTAGACGCCACCGCCCGGAAATCCTAAAGACGACGGCGGCAGACGACAATATATATATATATATATATATATATATATATATATATATATATATATATATATATATATATATATAAAACAAGAGCTGCACTCAAGGAGTCTGTACGCCATAGCTGGAGAATCTTCTTTTTTCCTCTTATTTAATCAACTCCATGATGCAGCATTTATCGTCTTCTCATGCTTACTGCACCCTGCATACATTACAAAGAAAAGCAAATAATTATGTTAGAATACTGAAAATCTAAGTGTGGATAGTACCCGTAAAACCCTAGTCAAGTTCATCAATTGTTGAGCTCATCAGCTATATAAATAACCTATACTAGTTATCTGTTAGGGTCACAATAGTTTACAAGCTTGACTTTCATAATAGTTTATTGATTTTCTTGGTTTAAACTGATAAGCTATATGTCACGGGGCTAGAGTCCAGCGTAACCCGAGACCCCTCTTACCACGCAGACCAACCTTAACCTGTGTCAAACTGGTTTTGCTCTACCATGGGCACAAATGGTTGGGAGCTATTTTAGCTCCTTGATGATGAGCCCATGGCAGGGACCTCGGGACGTCATATGGACGTTGGTCGTTGTGTTGGACTCTAGGCCCGTGACATATAGACCATCTAAGCTGGTTTACAAAGTTTTTTGCCAGTTAGGGTCAGAATATGTAATGCGGGGAAGAGTTAACATATAATTAAGATACAACTTAAAAACATATATAATTGTAACGGGTATAATTAAGTTTGAAGGATCTTTAGTTGGTGTCTAGTCAAGTAAGAATTATGTGTTTAAACAAGCTAGAGTGTACTTAGTAGTACGTACGTTGCGCAGTTAATGGAGGGGGTGATCTTGTAGGGAAGGGTAACGCCACATTTTTGGGGGAGGGCGGCGGCCAGGTCGAGCCTCACGCCGGGGACAGAGCCGGCGGCGTTCTTCATGCAGTTGCAAACGGTCTGGCGGTCGGCGGTGGTGGCGGCGGATCTATAGAGGGATCTGATCCCGTCGCAGCAGTTCATCGGAACCGCACCGCCGTTCCTCACGTAGTCCAGGCACGGGTACAAGTCGGTTACTACGGTGCCACACGACATGGACTGTGCATTCAGGCCAACCATCATCGCCGCCACCGCCACCACCACCATCCACGCCGCTTTTGCCATTAGACCGCCGGTAATTTTGTTGAAATAGAGACTTAATTAGCTTGGAGAAAGGTTTAGAATTGGAAGGGAAAGGAAGTAGAATGCTTTGTGTGAAGAATGGTGTAGGGAGAAGCTGTTTATATAGAAGAGGGAGCTGAGCTATAATGTATGTATGGGGTGCACCTATTAGACTGATGTTCATTATTATGTTATTCAAGTTTATATTAAAATCCGGCAACCCTAGCCCTATCAGACTATTACTTTGATAATTATAAAGTTCAAAGTTTGACTTTTCGTAAGAACAGTCTATTAACTTTCTTGATTTGAATAGCTAGCAATAGATAATCTAGACTGATTTAACTCTCTGTATCATATCGTTCCCAAGTAGTTAGAGTCACAAGGCGGAGTTTACCAAAAGCCCCTGCATCACTGGAATAGTGGATGAATCATTCTAATTTGTTGGTCCTATTTCTTGAAGAATACAAGTAACTTTGTTGGAGAGATGGTAGTTGGAAGTGATTAAAGAAATTGAATGCATTTTGATGAATGTTGTCACCTAATTAAATTCAAGAAAATGGTATGCACGTAAAGGGGTTATTAACTTGTGACCGTCCATTGCAGAAAGAAAGTAAATGCGTACAGTCGTGCATGCTTTCCTGTTTGATGTACGTACCATCTTTAATTAATTGTATTACGTAAGGTGTCATGTAAGGGGGGGAAAAAATAAAATTGCTTCTTACGTGCACAGCGGGCACATGCCGTGTTGTATTTTTCATTTGGTTTGGTCGATTTGGATACTTCAACTTTAGTTTGGGATTGCTATGGATGATAGTGTTTGAGTGTTTTCCATTTTTAGTGTAAGCAACAACACTGTTGACGAAGGTTGAAATTAACATAACTTTGATATGAATTTATGAAATTATAATGTTTTCTCAAAAAACATTTCGATGGTAAAAGAAAAAAAAAAATAAAAAAATCAAATAGGCCATTGAACTTTATTCGAAACATTCAAATTTATCATTTTAGTGTATTTAAACTCAATTACCGATAATTCACCTTAAATAACTGGTCAACAAAATTCCAACGACAATTCCATCCATAATTCTGGCGATAAAAAAAATATTGACGATAATTCCGACAATATTGAACACAACTTAGTTAGGTTCGACCAACACTAAAGTAGTCACTATCCTCGTGTTACCAAACAAAACAAAGCGACTATCATCCAATCATATCTAAGGATCTAAGCTGGTTGGTGGTTCAATATTGCATATTAGGATTAGTTGGTAATATTGAAATTAAGGAAAGTATTTATGCCATCCATGCAATGTTGATTGGTAATAGAAACATTCAAAAAAAATCTTAGCTTTGACACCTAATAACATTAATTGGTGTATGTGTCAAAACCTCGTGATCAAGCGGCATGACTATGACACTCTTAAATGAAGTCAAAAAAATTTGTAAAAAATATTACATTTACTATATAAGTATTATACGGAGTACAATTTTTCTCATAAATTCTTTAACTCTTAATATTATATTTTTCATCATAAATATTACTCTTATCTCGAACAAATAACTATTCAATCTCTAATGACCTTATATTACATTTTGATTTAAAACTATACATTTTCTTTATAAGTAACAATCAAATTATTCTTGATTATAATTACATTTTCATATTAACATGACCCATCTATTAGACAGTCTCACAAGGGACTCACCGCCAAAAGTTTGCCTTATGTTCAAGTCAAATGTGTTCGCGGAAAAATCAAATCTTCATGTAACTTTGATTAAAGAATGCTATAGATCAAAGCACTTAAACTATCATTACCAATAGATTTCAATAGTTGGATATAGGGATAGGGATGGCAATGGGTCAGGTGTGGGTTGGGGAGGGTTACATCCATCACTCGACCCACCTTATATTTTCTCCACCCACCCCCACCTCCAACCCGCATCGGGTGAACTTTTTCAGAACCCCACCCCACCCCCACCGGGTGCGGGTGCCCACTACGGGTACCCACCACTTATCATCTTATTATGTTTTTCAAAAAATAATATTTAAATTATTTACACATAATGAAAAAAATAAAATCCATTAGTGATACTAAAACATAAATAATGAAAATATTTAAAAATATAATAACTAAATTGTTAATTTTTAAAAATAAACTTAGTAGTTTTGATATAAAAAATAGTAAAAAGATACACGAAGTTATATAAACTATTATAAATAACTACATACTAGTACTTATTTTACTATTATATATATATACACACACACACATGGTGGGTCGGGTGGGGTTCTAGGCAGGTCTTGTACATAGATCCCGAATCCAACCCGACCCACTACGGATTTTCTTTTTTAAGGCCCACCCCGACCCACCACCCACCATCACCCAAAAAAACCCGATCCATGCGGGGTGGATTCGGGTGGATATCCACGGGTCGGATTGAAATTGCCATCCCTATATAGGGATGGCAATTTGCCCAGTCCCCGACTAGGATCCCCGATAGGGACAGGGATTGGAAATTTTTCGGGGAACGGGGCTGGGGACGTAGATACCCTTCCTGCCGCGCCCCGTTCCCGAAAAATTATTATAATTAAAAGAAATATATATATATATATATATATATATATATATATATATATATATATATATATATATATATATATATATATATAATTTTTAAATTAAAATTTAAGTTTTTAATTTTTGAAATTAAAAATTACAATAATTTAAAATTTTGATTAAAAGTTGAACGGGGATTCCCCGTCCCTACCAAATTCCCTGCAGGAAGCCGGGACTCCCCGTCCCACCCCGTTGCCATCCCTAGTTGGATATTACCCAACTGGACAAGGTAACTGCCATATTTAGCAGCCAATTTCAAAGCTATATATACAATGGAGTATTTGGTACATATTCATCCTGCCCCATTTGTCTTGTCAACTGAATTACACATTCATAAATTTTATCTGATTGAGCATGCAACCTGTCTCGAACAGTGAATTCAAAAACATTACCATTCACTTCAATGGAGCTGCAGCCTGGAGTCTTCTCTAGTCCTCTCTTACTCATCATCTTCCTCACTTCCCTAGCTTTATGCAACATATTTGCTCCAACATACATGTTGCCAAGTAAGACATAAGTCCCGCTATCATCGGGATCCAGCTGGAGAAGTTTCAGAGCTGCCTTTTCACCCAACTCAACGTTTCTATGAACGCGACAGGCGAAAAAGAGGGCCCCCCAAATTGCAGCATCTGCATTAGTTGGCATGCTCACAATCAGTGCTTCAGCCTCTTTCAGCAAGCCAGCCCTGCCAAGAAGGTCAACCATGCAAGCATAGTGTTTAGATTTTGGGGGAACGTTAAATCTGGAGGTCATTTCAGTAAAAATCTTGTGACCTTCTTCTACTAAACCTCCATGGCAACAGGCCAACAGGACCTCAAGAAATGTGACATCATCTGGTGAAACACCAGCATCCACCATCATTGCGAAATGGGATAACGCGTTGCGTGCATCTCCATGAAGGGCTAAAGCACCAATAACAGCTGTCCAAGTCAATGAGTTTCTCACAGGCATCTCGTGGAAGACCTTAAGCGCCTTCTCGACATTGCCACACTTGGCATACATATCGACTAAAGCAGTTCCAAGAGACACAGTAAGAGAAAGATTGTGGATTTCGACATAATGATGAATCCAACATCCAATATCAAGAGCTCCTAGTTGTGAGCAAGCAGATAAGCAAGAAACCATGGTGACCTCATCAGGCTTAACATTCATGGCTTGCATTTGTTGAAACAGTTCCAAAGCCTCTTTCCCACACTGGGCTTGAACATATGCTCCAATCATGGCATTCCATGTGACGACATTGCTCTTTAGTTGAAACTCATCAAACAACTTTCTAGCATCATCTAGAAATCCAAACCTCGCATACCCAACAATCATAGTAGTCCAAGTCACAGCAGTCCTTTCTTCCATCCTATCAAACAGAGTCTTTGCTTTCTCGAGATCACCACATTTCACATACATGTCCATAAGTGAATTACAAAGAGGTAAAGACAAATTCATTTCCTTTTCCACAACATATCTATGAAATTCCATTCCAAGTTCCAAACTTCCAAGCTGGCTGCAAGCTAAAGCCATACCAATTATAGTGATCTCATCAGGCTCAACACCCTCAATTCTCATTTCTCTAAAAGCCCTTAATGCTTCGCAAGGTCTCCCACTTTTTACATACCCATTAATCAATGAATTCCATGAAACCACATCTCTTGCACAATATTCACCAAACACCTTCTTTGCAACTTCCAACTCTCCACTACACACCAAGAAGTGAACCAACGCATTATGCACAAACCTATCCTGATAATGACCCATTTTCATAACATGCACAAGAATCTCAAAACCCATATAAAACAATGACAATCTGGAACAAACCTTGAACAACAATGGAAAAGTATAATTATCAGGCCTTAAAGTATCATCATCATTGTGTTTGTCAATGTACACTAACAGTTCTTTATACAAGAATAGAGCTTCAATCGGATTTTGGCTTTCAGTATAACCTCTAATGGCAACATTCCAAGAAAATGAATTTGAGTTTTGCATATGATACAGTAACGCCTTGCAATAATCAAGACTTCCCATCTCTGACATAGCACAGAAAGCAATCAAGCGACTCGAAGCGAACCCATCTGAAAAGAGGCCAGTGGTGACCATTTGGGCTTGAATTTGCTTGAGGTGTGCCATGCATTTGCATTGATTCTCGAGAAGAGAGAGGAGTGGATTGGAGAGGACAAAGGAATGGGTTGTATTCCAGTTATATTTAGCTTTGTGGTGAGTTAACAGACAGTAGCCACTGATGAATGACGAAGAAGCTCGACAAGAAGTTCCTAGAAGATGAGGTTCCAGAGTATAGAATTGGCGGGGTGATTTGAGGTTCTTGATTATGAAAAGAGGGACCATGGGAAGTACACATTCCTTGTAAAAGAAATGAAACTCCTGTAAAGTAGCAAAGTTCAGTCACCAAATAAAGAGTTTAGTTTCTTCCAAAGACTAATCATATGTGTGTTTGTGTGTGTGTATATATATATATATATATATATATATAGTGCACACACAGATACATACATGTATTTAAAACCTTGAATATATGAACACATGTAGATGTTTGAATTTATACAGATTAAATCCTGAAAATCATTGCATTGTGCTTTACTGTATCTGTAGGTGAAGTGAACAGTTAGCACACAAAGAGTCAATTACACAAATAATGAAATACACAATACTTCAATACTTAATAACAAATTATCAGAAATTAAATCAACTTCTTTCACAGAATCACAAATCACAAGTTCACAACACACTGTAGGAGGCACGGAGTGTCGAATTACCTAATTCCGTGAGTTCTGTTGCAGATGCGCAGCAGGAGAGGGAGCACTGGAGTCTGGAGGTCTAGTCCGTCGGGAGCTAGTCGCCGGCCGTCGCCAGCCGGCGCCGACACGTCGTTAGTTGTCCACGTGTCCCACCGGCAGACCGCCGAGTCGGAGAGACCGACGCGAGTCTTGTTCGGCAGTAGCGCGGTACTGACTAGTGAGTTAGTGACTAACTGGCTAGTTTCTAGGGCAAAAATTAGGAAAGGAAAATGAAAGATAGTGAAAATTGAGCAAGATTAAAAGCTGAAAATTGAAAAGGGTTTAAATTTCTTTTAATTATATATAGATTATATATTAAATTATTAGGAATAAAAATAAAATAGGCTATCCAACTACACACGAAATTATAATTAGATCATCGAACTAAAAAGTTATAATTGGGTCTTTCAACAATATAAAATAATGTAATTGAACAAAAATGATTTGTTTACCTGTTGATGACTGACGTAGGTTATTGAATTAAAAATAAATTTTTTAAATTTTATTTTAATAATTTTAAATTTAAAAAAAATAAAAAATGAAAAAGAAAAGAAAACGTCGAAGGTCCGACAGCTTGGAGACAATGAGACATCAAATAGAGAGCTTATAGCTTATTAGTATCTTAAAATAAGCTATAAGCTCTTAAATAAGTTCTGCCAAACAAATATGTTTATTGTACTTAGACTAGAAGTAAATACATAGAACATAAGATGATGAAAAGAAGTTCAAAACCATTAATAAACAATATAAAGACTCTATTTGGTAAAATATTAGTCTATCAGTCAATTTTTGCTTATTTGACCACTATTAGCTATTCGATTTGGTTAAACAATCAATATGAGTATTTGATAAATTAGCTTTTTGTAACAACTTATTGCTCCAAAATGCTAAAATTTCAAAAGTTGTTCAAAGTAGCTTTTTCGATTAGCATTTTGAGAAAGTCATTTTGTATGCAATCAGCTAACAACTAATTTATCAATCACTTTTCTACCATCAACTAATGTTATCAACTGTTTTCAAAAAAAAAAAAAAATGTTATCAACTAGTCACATTCACTAACTCAATCAGCTATCAACTAACCGACATTTACCACACCCAAAATCTCTTAATATAGGCCGAATGGTCAAATAGACCCATGTATTAACATTGATTGTTCATCTAGCACCATGAATTAAAATATGGTCATTATACTCTCAATTATTTTTCATCTAGCATTTTTAGTAAGTTTCTAACAAGTAACCCATCTAATTTGCTTACGTGGAAAAATAAAATAAAAACAAAATGCTGAGATGTTATTTTTTTTCATCTAACTTGTTGTTTATTTCACTTTTTTATGTAGAAAAATTCATTTTTTTAAAACATATTTTCGATTATGTTGATTTTTTATATGGCTTGAAAGATTCCAACTTCTCATATGTTGCGAGTGTTGAGTGTGAAAACACGTAGGGGTATTCTAAGCGGAATGCATCCATGTTGTTGTTACCATACATTTGTCCTGCAAAATGTATATTTTTGTCGTGGAGGGGTACCCCATTGCCTTCAAAAACATGGCCGCTTCCCTCAAGGGCCAGTCTCCTTTATTCGTTGTATATCTCTTTCTCTTTCCAATGCTGCACATTATACCTCATAACATGAAGTTTCTTAATTGTTACTTCAATCAGATTGTAGTTGTAGCTAGTAAACGTAAGTATGTTCTTTTCTTATCTACACTTAAAGGAAGTCGGTAAATTAAGTTATACCTCAAACATTAAATCAAGTCGTCCCTTAGTCTATTATTAACGAGTTTTTTTCTAAACTCCTCAATCTCAAGTGTGTACAGAAGAGCCTCATAAACGCACCATCCAAAACCAAAATAAAAACCAATCCCAATAAATGGGTTCAAAAACCACAAAAGCGGTAACATACTTATTTCACAGCCGACGAGAAAAATAGATTCACTGTACTGTATTTTTTTTTTTTTTGAAAAATTCGTAGAAGAAATCAACATAATCTAGAAATATGTAAAAAAAAAATGAAATTTTTTAACCGAAAAAAACTTTAAAAAGAGACAAAACAGCAAGTTAGATGAAAAAAATAACATGTCAGCATTTTGTTTTTATTTTATTTTTCATGTAAGCAATTTAGATAGGTTACTTGTTAGAAACTTGCTAAAAATGCTAGATGAAAAAATAATTGAGAGTATAATAATCCAAATGTACCATATTTTAATTTATGGTACTAAATGAACAATCAATATTAATACATGAGTCTATTTGACTCTTATGCCCTTAAAATAATACCTAATAGTGGATCCTCATCTAAAAACTGTACATACGATTAGGTATCACGGAGTAATTAATAGTGAGTACTTCAAGTAGAGTTGTCTAGCATAGTTCTATGTTTATTATACTAGACTAGACTAGAAGTTGTCAAAAAAGTTGTCTAGCATAGTGAGTACTTCATGTAAAGTTGTCTAGCACAGTTCTATGTTTATTGTACTAGACTAGACTAGAAGTAAATACATAGAGCATAAGATAATGAAAAGAAGTTAAGAACCACTAATAAACAATATAGAATTTCTTAAAATAATACCTAATAATGGCTTCTCATATAAAAGGTGTGCATATGATTAGGTATCACGATACAAAACAATCTGGATCCATTATAAATCTGGTAAAAATAGTAATAATATTAACCGAGTCTAAGAACTAATTTTAACTCCTAAGAAATTTGAACACGGGTCTTGTAGTTAAAATGGTAAAATACTAGTGTCATTCTTAAAAATGAATGATTAACATGTCTCAACTAATTCAGAGTAATGTCATTACCACACGTGAGTTTAACTTACTAGTTCAATAGACTATATTTGAGAGAAGAATAAATAGACTTGTTAGTTGACACCATTATAGCAAATATTGCAAGTACAGAGTTCAATTTTTAATCAAAATCACTATTTCGAATATTGACGAGAAAAATGAGTCATAACATCTTAAATTAAAGAGAGAAAATAAATTAATTATTTGAATTAAAAAAGAAGTAATGTATTAAGTTATCATTAATTGATTGAGACACATAATGAGATGTATCAACAAAATACCTAATCCATTACATTACATACCAAATCCATACACAAAACAAAAATAAAAGGTAGCAAAATCTCCCTTTCAAAATGCAATAAAAGCCTCAGTGGCTGGGCTGCTACAGGGACCTAACCACAGCCTTGGTCAATCTCCTAACAAAAGAAAACTGAAATAACTTACATCACAGCTAAGCCTGGAAGTGGCACAAAGCTCTGCCTACTATAGGATTAGTTGTGGCTAGCATCATCATAGCTGCTGCCTGCAACCACAGCCATGGTCACTACCGGTTGGTCCTCTTCCTCCTAGTGATATCTTCCTGTCATGGTAACATACTAACATCAACTTTCTTGTTCATCTAGACACAACCAACAATCAAATAAGCAACAAAATTTGTTCAAAATGCAGAATGAGTAACAAACAAAATACTAAGAAATGCAAGGAAAAATAAAGTGATTGTATATGACACTTACCAAATAACCAATTTATTTAATCATCATAAACTAAATACAGCATATAAAATGAGACAAAACAGCTTAGCGTGTATGGAGGTAAAAATTATGGGGGAAGATTTAGGGTGTGCTTGGTAAGCACATGGGAATCAAATACTTGGTAATGGTATGGGTTTTGATGAAAGTATTTTGCATATATAATATACAATATAAATTCATGGTATGGGTTTTGGTGAAAGTATTTTGCATGTATAATATAAAATATAAATTCATTTTATGTATTACATATTCATTTTTAGTAATTTCATTTACTAAAAATAAACTTATATTAAGGTTTATCTTACTACATGGATCAAGTCATTTACTTGCAAGAACTTAATTGAATAGTACTTCAGCATGTGAAGTGTCTGGGTTGGCCCGTCGTGTTTATGGGGTTGTCCACATGCAACTATTTAAGGGAGTTTGGCCTTAAGGCCTACCCTTTAAGTTCGTGTGTCTATGCTGAATTCTGCCCATTATAAATACACTACCCATAAATATCGATGAAAAATATTCAAATTTTTGTGTGTATTAATAAATATGGTCATTTTAAAAAAAAATAATATTGATGATATATTAACAAAAATAAAAGGAAATATAAGTAAAATTATAATAAAGAGATATTGATATTGCTCTCCTAACTTTACCTCCTTACATGTTAATATTTGATTGATTCTTTTTATATTCAATTAATAAGTACATTTCATTTTACAATAATCAATAAATAATTATATATATATTACCACATGAGAAGATAAAATAATAACATTATTTTTTTAACTCCAAAAACTCTAACCCAACTTTGAATTTAGTTACACCTTCATTTTTAAAAATCCATTAATTTGACATATAATAATCATTCGTACTAATTGCATAATATTATGCTAGTGTAACTTAAGTGCAATTTAGAAACAATATTTCAATATTATTCTCAACTTAGAAAAATATAATTATTTTTGTTGGTGTATAGAACATATAAATCTATTAACTTATTTAAAACTGAAACTGATATGATCATACCTTAATCTATATTAAAAATTTAAAATAAAGAAAAAATATCAAATAAACTCTTTAAATCAAACTAATAGTGCAACTGAAAATTCTCTAACTTAAAAAAAATCATCTAATCCCTTAACCCGATAAACAAGTATAATTAAATCCAAAATTACTTATTCCGCATGTTACTATTAATGTGTGATTGTTATACCATGGCCGAGTGTCCACAGTGCATTGTGGAACTTGATCCAAAACAACATTATGATTATGTACTTTCAGTTAATAAACTACGGAGTATCTATCTATTACAATTAACAAATTATGTATCTACAATTAAATTATTAAGTAGATGCAATTAATAAATTATGTATATATTGTTAACATATTATGTACCTTCAATTTATTTATAAGTACATAATCTGTTAACTGAATGTACATAATATGTTAATTACAGAGATATAATGTGAATGTCGTTTTAGATCAAAGTCCACAATGCAAGATAGACTTTTAGTTTATGATATAATTTGCCATTAATGTGGCTAACAATCACGAAGGAGAAGGGAAAGTCCATTTAATCAAATCCAACTCTCGACTAACCAAAATGACATGTACCCAATACCAATCAGTACTTTGGTTCAGGCAGTGCCACTATATATACCCACTAGATTAGCTGCATTTTGCAAGCACAACAAACAGTAAACCCCATAGCAAGAGAAGCAAAGCAAAGATAATTGGGAGGAATGGCAAGTTCAGGAATGATCAAGTTCACAGTGGTGCTCACCTGCCTGGCAGTGATTGCATCCCATGCTGAAGCTGCTGTGACTTGCGCGGGAGTCCTCAACAGCGTGGCGCCCTGCATTGTGTACCTCAATGGAGGCGGTATAGGTCCAGTTCCGCCAGCCTGCTGTGCCGGAGCTAGATCCCTCAACCTTCAGACAAGAACCATGCCTGATCGCCAAGCTGCTTGTAGGTGCCTGAAGCCAATTCTTAACTCCTTTCCCAATCCTGCTGCTGTTCCAACCATTGCTCCCAAGTGCGGCGTCAACTTGTCATTCAAGATCACTCCATCCATGAACTGTGCAACGTATGTATCTCTCTGAATTCCTCTTTCTTCTGGTTCCTACATCTTTTAGCTTATTGTAACGCTTGCTGAGTATTGTTATTGTGTTGCAGGATCAATTGAAGCTTATTCCCAGGGCTACCTGAAGCAGATTCGACTTGAATAAACATAATAAAGATGGTGACAATTGTCAACTCCACATGCATGGAGCCATTCTAGTTAAATTACGTTTTCTTGTCACCCTAGATGGTGCCTTCCTATTTGTCATAATCTTGCGTGTTGCGTGTATTAATAGGTTGTTGTTTAAACAACCTCTTGTTAATGGAAAATGTTTGAGTGTTCTAGTCTCTCTCTCTCTCTCTCACAACCACATGCATGCCCACTTTAGAGTTCAGAAACTGCATGTATGGAGTAAGTAAATTCATGTTGGAAAGTGTATTCATGATGATAAGAGTCCCACATTGAAAAATAAGAGAGAATCATATAGGTTTATAAGAAAGATCATGGGTTAGACTAACTAATTGATTGGATTCAATCTTTTAGTGTGGTGTCTAGATGGACTATATCCCTTTTTCATCATTGGTCACTACACATTTCTTAAATCACAGAACCTATAGTTTCTCTGCTACACCTCAGGATCAAATTCATGTCAAGTCAGGAAAGGCTAATATATATCTGTATTAGATTTCAAAGATATAGAAATAAATTTAGGTAAGGAACATACCTGAGACATGGTTGACATCCAGAGAAGAAAATCTTGATGGGAAAGAATATATGAGTGCTTTTTAGTCAACTGTTCCTGCAGTACCCAGAAGTTTATCAATTTCCACGACATCCACTGTATCTGTATTCCCATCAAGAACGATTCTCTCAAGTCGAGCTACAAGAGTGTGTGCTGATGAACTCAACAATAGGTTTTCTTGTCTCAAACTTTCAACTTCTTTCCTCAGTCCCACATTTTGCTTTTCAAACTCGAGGCAAGATGAGAGCTGATTGTTCAAAATTTTATTGTCTCTTTTCAGGTCATTAATTTCCTTTCTTAGTTCAGTTACCTGCTCTTCTAGAATCCAGTTTTTTCTTTTCAGATCCTCCTCACAATTATCCTGAATAAACAAATCATCAGGTCTTGAAAAATAATCCAGAAACTCAAAAAGATATGGAAAAACAAAAACAAAAGAGAAAGTTAAAGAGGATATACTGACATCACTGCTGATTAACACAATGGAATCTCCACATGAACTTGGAGGATTCTCTGCTGGTTCTATTTCACTTTCTACACGACAAGGTGTAGAGATTAAAACACAGCTGTTAGAAGATGTTCTTCTTAGATTTCTGAATGGCGAACAATCATTTTGCTCCTGATAGAGTTCTCTACTGATTGTAGTCGCTGAGTCCATCTCCATGTCAACCGCCAATTGTTCCACCATCTGGAAAAGTATTTAGATTAAACAAAATTAAGAGACATACCATGCTTTGCTACTAGTATCTTATTTAGGAAGAACACTTTATGAAAAGAAACAAAGTGGTAGGGAAACTTACATTACAAACATGTGCAGAAGACTGCTGCTCCATGATTTGCCCTGCATTTTCCCCTTGTGCCTCTAGCAACTCTTTGATCATTCCAATTTCTGACTCCTCAGAAGTCAATTCGAGGCTCCAAATAATCTGTAAGAAAATAATAAACAAATAAATAAATAGAGAAAATTGATACAAAGTTAATTGCCCAAAACTTTCCACAGAACCACAGAAACTTCCTTAGACAGTGTTTTCTTTTGCTTATTGTACAAACTTGTACTGTTAGGTACAATCAAAGTTTATTCGTAATCCAGACACCAGCAGTCGTTCCTCAAAGAAACAATGATCCTACGATACTATAAAGTTACAGAAAAAGTTGGCTTCTCTAATCAAAAGAAATGAATAAAACAGAGATTGAAGCCTCGAATGCTTAAATTTGCAAGACCAGAAACAATATAGGATAAATTTGGAAATATAATACACCAGCAAGTATAGCAACCAACCAATTTCAACCTGGCTCGCATACCTGATTACTACCAAGAGTTTTGAACTTGTCAATGAACCACTGACGATGATGAGATTTTGTACTTCCCCAATGGCAAACACGAGGAAACTTAACAGCATTGTCTATTAGACAAGGCCGAGCTATATCAATATGCTCATAACACCATATCTGCGCAAATCAATGTTGGAAATGTTAAATTCCATAAAAGATGAGTTAATAGCATAGGAATAAATGTTATTTACCCCAACTATTAAAGCACAGATAGAATCACCAAGTAATGCAGAAAGTTTCATCATTCATCAACCAAGGGGCATTTTTATTAAAAAATGATTCAATGCTGAAACAAAAATATTAATATTACAATTCAGTTAGATTGGTAAACTTACTTGAAGGAAAATAAGACACCCTCCAACATATTGCACATTGTCCCTCTTTCTCTTGCTCAACCAGTAAAATAAATCTTCAAGAACAGCTGCACCCCAAGCAAACTGATCCACATTGTCCACATCTCGGAGAAGATAAAGGTAACGGGAATCTATTTTTCCAGTGGTAGTGGGGAAAAGTAGTGTTCCGAACATGTACAACAAAAACAACCTCAAAAAGTCATCATCATCGGTCTCTCCAAGAGACTCAAGCCTCTCTTCTACTGAGGCAACTGTGATTTTTCGATTCCAGAGGACAGCACCGTACTCTCTTTCCAGATTAAGGAACGGTGTATTGTCTCCTATGCTTACAGGATTTCCAGTCACTCTTAATCCCAAGATTAACACAACATCCATCAGAGATATGGTAATCTCCCCATGAGGAAGTACAAAGGAAGACTTGTCACAGTTCCATCTTTCCATCAACTCAACTAAGAGACTTTTGCAGAGCATTTGGTTGGGAATCAGGAGTAAATTGCCAAACCCAGCCCTCCTCACGGCCTCTTTCTGAGCTTCAGTCAATTTTTTGACTCGCTTCACAAATGAAGGCAGCGAGAATCGAGTACTGAAATTCCCAACCTGCAAAGTGCAAACCACAACAACATTCTTTCCATCAGCATAATCCTCTTCAAGCTCATGCCAAATGAGAAAACTACAAAATTGTCAAACAAAGTTTCATAATTCAATTAATCATCATTTATACAACTTAAGTTCAAATTGAAAGATGTGTTCCCTCAACTAAAAGTTTAAGGGATAATTAGATTATATATATTATATATGCTCAAAAATGAATTCAAACTCAGACGGGTAGTTCAGTTGGTTGCTGTGTTACACCCTATTTCTGTTGGGGCAGGGGGTTTTGCTTTTGTGGAGAAGAACAAATGAATTCAATGTGGAAGGAAAATGAAGATGAATGAACTTACCGCGTTAGCGCCATCTTTCTGAAGAATTGAGGATCTTCTGCTCGATTTCCCCATTTTTCTCCAATAAACTAAAAACCCTAGCTTTGAGGGTAGGGGGCGACGGGACTGCGTCAAGGTGTTGGGGAGGAAGGATTGCTCTAGGTTTTGGCGTCAGGTGGAGTTTGCGGTGGGAATAATGGGAAGAGCTCCAATGAGTCACCGGATTCCGGCGTTTGACAACCGGAAAACAGAATTTCCCGGTGATGCCGCGTTCCGATAAACTTATCTGATGCAGCCTTTCGGGTCTCTAGACGACGATGATCAAGATTCAAGGGCCGTCCCCAGAGCCCATCAGTGACAATATTTTGCGACGAAAGTGAAGCCGTGAGGTGTTGAAGACAATAAAGGGCGCCAAAACGCGAAATATATGCACTTCAAGCTACAGTGTGTGAGTATGCAGTACATTGCCAAAGCTTGCGGGAGAAGCTGAAGGGATAAAGGGCGCCAAAACGCGAAATATATGCACTTTGAATCTCAAACTAAAAGGGGGCCACGCTGAAGTCGTACGATGTCGTCTTTCAGAGATACTTGGGCAAATTTTACTTTCAACCATGGTCCATAACGGTGGCGTTTCTTTTCATGAAACGGCATCCGCTTCGCGTAATTAATTTTGTTTGTATAAAATATTTAATTTTATTTTATATACATTGTAGTTTTATTTCAGTACCACCACAATTTTATTTTGTTTCACATACAGTTTCATTCGATGTTATACATATAATAGTATTATTACAGTGAGACATGTTATTGACTTTCATTTTATACACATTGTAGACTTATTACAACACTACTAAATTATAATTATAATTCAACTACGATTTTATTGGACACTATTGATAGTACTAATTCCACGTAGTGCGGTTAAAGTAATAATGCGACCAAGTTAAAGCAAGTAAATCTTTTATTGATCGTGTAAAAGGACCTAATACAATCTAAGTGGCTATTCCGAGGGCCGACTGACTGCGATCGGGATGCTCTGTAAATAGCCTATCGATCGTTCCAAAAGTTCCTCATACTGTTGCCGCCGTGGGTATTTATAGCCGCTAGGCCGGAGACATAGCTCCGGCCCGCCGGCATGTAACCCACGTAGCAACCACGTGTCTTCACCCCGTGAGCCCTGCCTGTCAGCGCGTAACGTTGCCACGTGCTTCTTCTCAACTCTCACATCCAAGAGCTACCGATCAGGTGTTGAAGACGTTGGTCGGGAGATGCGCTAGTCGGGTCCGACCGGGTTCCTTTAGAGATACCCGACCTGTAAACCTGCATAAACAACAATAAAACACGTGGCATGTCGGTCGGGGTATTCCCTACCAACTATATACACCCAAATATGTGAAACTGTTATTCAGTTTCATTTTATATACATTGTAGTTTCATTACAACACAATTACAATATCATTTTGATATAACTACAACTTTATTTGACAATATATAACAATATGTTAGACATGTTATTCAGTTTTTCTTATACATACTGTAGTTTCATTTCAGCAAAACTAAAGTATCATTTATATTCAACTACAGTTATATTCGACAATATACACTTAATACGTGAGACATATTATTCAGTTTCATTTCAACACAAATAAAGTATCATTTCATTCAAATATAGTTTAATTTGATAATATAAACACAATATGCGATGCAGTTCTATTTTGTTATAAACACAAAAAAAAAAATACGAGATTTGTTAAAAAGTAATGACTGTCGTTTATTTACTTAAAGAAACGGCGTTATTTTCGAACAATTGTCTATAATATAACAACCAGAGATAGTTCTATTTGGGCTTCGAATTTCAAAGCCGGTTAGATTTACAGGCTGTTTGGTTGAGATAAAGGAAAAAGAATAATGTGATAATACAGTATGAATTCAAATTACGTTCTTTGGTATAGAATAATAAAATTATTGGGAGTAATATGACAAACACTATATAAAGACTAAATTGTTTTGTGTAATAATAATAATAATAATAATAATAATAATAATAATAATAATAATAATAATAATAATAATAATAATAATAACCAATGGTATATTTGTCATGTCTTCACTTTTTTTTTCCCTTTCTTAGAGCATCTATAATGGTTGGGGAGAATTGAGGGATAATGTCAAAGTGATTATGAGAGAGAATGTGGGAGGGGAGAAAAAAAAAAGAAAAAAAATTAAAATTAAAAAAAAAATTAATAAAAAAACTGTTGCGTCAGGCGCGCACGTGCAGTGCACGCGCCCGTGTAGCCATGGGCTGTGCGCAAACGCGCACATTCATTGTTAACTTTTTGTTTTTACTTTTTTTTTTTTTTTTGCTGACATTATCTTCATATTTGCAAGATAAATATCTTCTAAAATAGCTCCACCCCACATTTGTTATTAACCCCACCCAATAACTCCATAATAACCACTGCACCACTGATGTGGATGCTCTTACAACCATTGAGTTGCAATTCATGAGAGGGTACTCATGAATTGTAATTCAACAAAAAGAAGGGGATTGCAATTCTCTCAAACTAAATACTCTAATTTGATTTGGGAAGAATGGAATAAAGTATAGAATGAATTATAACTACATCCAACCAAACACCCCATTAGTGGCAAATAATGCAAATTATATCGTGAACATATTTCATCTTATAAGATAGACATTTATCTAAAAATGGTTGAATAGGCCCTTAAAATTTTACATGGGAAGACAATTAAGCATATAAACTTTAAAAATGTGCAATTAAATCTTTCAAATTATTAAAATTGATCAAATAAATATAATTTATTGATATCCAACACATTACGGGTAAAATTACATCATTAACCACCATTGATTGTTGTTGGCCGTCTTCTTTCAATTGACAAACCGCCTTTTCCCTAAGAAGGCGATCCAAAGAGCCGTGGGAGTTCGCTAGATTTTCGTCAAAATGGTATTGACCGGTCATGACAAGTTCATAACCGATTGGTAGCTTTCGATATATGAAAATATCATGTTGATGAATTTAATTGTACGTTTTAACAGCTCATAGTTTAATTACTTTTCGTATAAATTTTAGAAATTTATTTGACCAATTTTTAAGAAAAAAACGTATAGTACACCACAAATAAATAAATAAATATATTTCACTAAAAGTAATATTGTAATAATATATAATAAACATGCAAAAGAGTTATAATAAAAAGTAACGTATAAAATGATCACATAATATACTAAAAATACAATTTCAATATTCTAAAAATTAACGTGTATTATATGATATGAAACTGAATCCAATATATAATGATTAATAATTATGTGGTTTGTGATTTTTCTTAAAACGTAACTCAAAGGAAAAAAATAATTGCTAGTTCCATGATTTTTGTAATAGTGTCATAATTAGTCTTTCACTCATAATTTAGTTTTATATTTAAGCTCATAAAATTGCTAACATTGTTAAATTTGATATTTTATTGCAATTTTCATTTGACCAAGATTATGGAGTTATGAAAATTTATCGGTCAAAATTTATCGGTATTATAAAATTTTAAATTAGAAGAAAAAGACTAAATATATATTTATACATATTTTTTTAAACTATTGAAACACAAAGAGTCAAAATCTTACATTGTAATTACACTGTAATAAGTCATAGCTATATTGCTTGATCACAAAATTTTAACACATTGAATTAATTAAAAACAAAAAGGGTTTATGTTAGTGGGGACAAGTAGGTAGTTAAGATGGCCACGTCAGACGAGATCTGTACGTCATCGGGGGGATCCGACGGCGGTATGTAAGAGTCAAAGATCTATCACTACGGGTCTCTTTGACCATCGACCACCCCCAGGAAAATCATATGCTAAAAATAATAGTAATTATTATTATTATTATAAGAATAAGAATAAAAAAAAAAAGAAAAAAGAAAAAGAGAAATACATACTAGTAAATGAGTTTCCAACTTTGACTGGCTTTTCTCACTTTGCTCAAAGCCCCTCTTCCTTGAATTTCGAGCTACTTTTCCATTCACACACGTGAATTCACCAAAATGCCATGGGCCCATCGACAGTTGCATTTTTGTATTTTTAATCTCGAGTGTTCTACACTTCTCCTTATCATGTTTTCAAATTTTGTTCATATAAATAACTCAGTTGGTTACAAAAATAAAGTTTTTGAATAATGATTAAGGATTGAGTCTTATGATTTACATCCTCTCAATATTTTATTATGTCGGAATGTGGAGGCCACCAAAAGTCACGAGACACTAAAAGTTGTTTTTCTTTTTTTAGTGACTCTAAGGACATAATCTTATGAGTTAGATTAGTTCGAAGAAGTTAAGATCATTTAAGGATAAAAAAATTATAAATTATAAATAATTAAAAAAATATGTTTGAACAGATACTATAAAGTAATAGAGTCATTCAGGGAAAAAAAAAAAAAAAAGATAAGTCAATCAATGCATAAAATCTGATGGATGTACGAGATGATACAAACATAAATCAAGGGAAAGATGTAGGCCAAGGACAAAAATGTCAGGAAGGGTTTGAGTGAATCATATATATATGTGCGTGTGTATAGGTAGTGGTTGGATAGAGATACAGAATAATGGTATATATCTTTCTTAAATGAGAAATTTATTCATGGGGTTTTTGGTTTGACTACTGCATCTTTGTACTCCATTCCTACGGACCCCCACTTCTCTCTTCCCCATCTTCCTTCTCCTTTCTCAAAACACCTGCTCTTTGCCTTTCCCCATTGCCCTTCATTTGACTTGTCCTTAGGGTTTCTCTCTCCCCCAATGATCAATTTCATTCTGCGGGTGCCTTTGTAATCCCCAAAGATCCACTCTTTAACCCCAAAATAAGCTCAAGATCAGTTCAATTTGCTCAGGTAATTTTCTCTATGTTATTTTCTTGATGTCACTTTGTAATATTTTCTGCCTGTTTATAGTTCTGATGGAGAATTGTAAGTGGCAAGAAAGCTTGTTTCATATTTGCCCTTTTGTTGTTGATTTTTAAATGAAATGATTCTTTTTTTTTTTTTTTTGGAAATTTTCTTATTGAAGTTTAGTTAATTTATGGTTTTACAGCATGGATTTAAGTTTGGTTTTGGTGGAAACAAAATTAATATTGGATTTAGATTCAGTTATTGTATTTGATGTGTTCTTAATCATTTATGTAAAGCTCTGTGTGTTCTTAATCATTTATTCATTTATGATATTTCTCTTTAGGAACTCAGCTGTAGAAATGTAGAATAGGCTCGGGTCAATTTGCACTAGGGCAAACAAAGATTTGGGTGTCCTTTAGATATGAAATATGAATCAATTACTATGTAGGGTGCTTTTGCTTGTTGTTTGATTGGCTATTCAGTTCTCCCGGGTCCCATGTCATATCAGGAAATATGGGAATGAAAGAGAATTAAGTTGTTGAATGTATGTTTTCATTAATTGATGGGTTCAATTATTTCGTTTTAATCATTACCTTATATTTCTCGGTTTTGAGGCTAATTAGGGTGTGATGCCTTGTGAATAATCGTGCGTGTTTCTCACTTCTGCAGGGAGGACAGAGCTGATTGCGAGTAAAACTTCGAGCTGAAGATGGGATGTTTCACCGTTTTGAAGAGTAAGAAGAAAAAGTCTGAGAAGGCAATCCATGTTAAACGTGTTAACCCTCAGGATCCCTCGCCTACTGCACTGCCTGAGCCCGAAATACAAACACGGGCGTTGCAGTCTGCTCCACCGAGTTTTAGAACTAGAGTGAAACCCGTTCAGTCGAATAGCGGGGTAGCCAGCAGTAAGATAAGAGTACGCTCTGCCCCATCGAGCATTGATGCCGCAGAACAGGATACTCTCATGGCAAATGAATGTGACGAACAGGAGGAATCCAGGTGCCGTGTTGGGTCAATGAAGGAACATCCCTCGTCTATTCCTCAACCGCTTCCTCTCCCCTCACCTCAGAGTGCTGCCTCCCTGAAGACTATGGGAAGCTTTAAAATTGGAAATGCGAGTGGCCCTCTCAATGCCTCGGGTCCACTTCCACTTCCTCCTAAACTCCCGCCTCCCATACTGCCTACGGGAACCCTCAGAAACTTTTCGTATGAAGAGATTGCAGCTGCCTGCCACAACTTCTCTCCCGAGCGATGCATGTCAGAAAGACTTTCTTCTATCATCTACAGAGCTTCATTCGGGGACGATGCCTTGGGTGCAAAGAAGCTTGACGCGATCGTCACTTGTCTCCACCCGTCTTCTCAGGTAATACTGAGTTGCCTACACTTAACTACCAACCTGGCAACCTATAAGAGAGGTCGGGAGTTCGAACCCCCTCTCGTATGAAAAACCAATCTGGCCAGCATTTTGCCCCTTAATTGGGCCGGGCTCGGTGCGAACGGGGATTAGTCTGAGTATGGCACTGGCTTAAAGGTGCCTCCTAAGTTAGGGCCTGCTCAAGCCACCTCCTGGTCTGACCAAAAAAAAAAAAAAAAAACTACCAACCTATCGCTAACCTGGCTTGTTACTTCGATTATTGCTATTGAAGGGTCATATTACGAGAATTAGTAGCTTTATTTCTTTAGACTCTCTTTACCTTCCATCTTCTGGTTGGTTTAAATCAAAATAGAAATATCAAACCACAACTTGTATATCTATAAACAACTTCATTGCAAATTTTGGTTAAATCTCACTGGCTCTTTTGGTTTTCCAGGGATTGAAGGAGTTCGTGAATGAAGTTAACACACTAGCTTCATTGCAACACCCTTCACTTTGTAAACTAATTGGTTTCCATGCACGCGAAGGCTCAGGGCAGAGGATGTTGGTTTATGAAAGGCTTTATCACGGAAGCTTAGACAGGCTTTTATTTTGCCGATCTGATGGCCCCCCCTTAGATTGGAATGCTAGAATGAAAATCGCCTTGTGTGCTGCGCAAGGTCTCACATTCCTGCATGAGGAAGGACCTTTTCAGGTAATCAATACGGTCATCTGACAATGATTAATGTGGTTTTAAAATAATAAATTCCACTTTCAGTCACTCGAGTATAGATGGAATTCAACCGACTCTCAATAAATCTTTAGAAACCCGTTCTTGCAACAGGCCAATGGAAGGGCTATTATCATCCAATTTTTAAATTTTTGGGGAATTGGGGACCGTTACAGTGATCATATGTGGAATTCCACTGGTTATCGAGTGATAAAAAGTGGAAATAGTTCTTAAATTTTCAATTTCTCTTGGCTAATGCTGTACACTTTTACGTGTTTACTGATTTTAGTTTTGAATTTACAGGCAATGTTCCATGAATTTTCAACTGCCAATATACAGATTGACAAGGACTTTAGTTCAAAACTTTCGGGATATGGTTGCATTACTCACATTCAAGAGACTAACATTTGCAGTAGTTCAGCCGTGAGTGCATCAATCACTATCTATCTATTTTCTATCTTTACGAACCTTTTTTCTCAATCATCTTTCATTTATTCAGGTGCTTGCGAATCTTTCTGCGGAGACAATGGAGAGGGGTTTTCCGACTCCTAAGAGCAATGTTTGGAGTTTTGGGATTGTACTTCTCGAGTTGCTCACTGGCAGGAAGAATTTGGACAGTGGTCATCCAAAGGAAGAAAGGAATTTAGTGAAGTGGAGCCAGCCTTTTCTGGCCGACGATTGCAGGCTATCGCTTATCATGGACCCTCAGCTGAAAGGTCGGTTCCCAGCCAAAGCAGCTAGGACGATAGCCGATATTGCTCAACGATGTTTGCAAAAGGACCCCTCCGGGAGGCCAACGATGAGAACTATAGTGGAGCAGCTCAAGACGGCACAAGACATGAAGTGCCCGTCTCGATTTCCACTTCAGGAGCCAGGAAGAGTAAGCATGAAGCACATGTCGAAATCACCTAGTCTAAACGGGATTGTCGTCCCCGCCCCAAAGCTAGGTCTTTCGCCTTCGCCACCAACAAGCAGACTATCAAGGACAGGTGCACCGCGTTTGTCCCTTCCTTCTCGAACATGCTCCTCCATCTCAATGGAAGACCTGGAGCGACTGGAGAGCCGGAGATCGTCGTCTTCATATCTCCGAAGAACTAGTGTTGAAGGTTTTTGATTGTTCATAGAGAGTGATCCATAGAGAACATATTTTTGTTTTTAGGCTTTGCTTTCCCTTCTTGGAAAGTGATTTTAAATGAAGTATAGAAGATAAAAAGATGTGGTTTCTCCACCATGCCATTCTCCTTGTAAGAAATCATGGGGAATGACATTATGTAGATATGTTTTCCCCTTAGTTTTCCCTTTTAAGGATGGGATATAGTTTCTCTTCTTGGTTGGTACACTCATTGTGTGTGTGTATGCGTATGTATAGAGATTATATTTTGGTAAATCCGTGGAAAAGTTAAGTTGTTGGCAGGAACCTACCTGGACTTTTTAGTACTCTTAACTAGTGTTGTAAAAATTGACCTAGGCGGCCGCATAGGCGCCCCTCGGTCGAAACGATTTCAGCCTTAGGTTGCTTTTAGTCCCGACTAACTGGTCCTAACTCGAACAAGCATGCTCGCAACTGTGTTAACCTGGCTTATATGGTTTATTACGTACTTTGTTTTTGGGTCTAAATTAATGATATGTAAATACGGGGTATACGTAGAGGGTGACCTGCGTATAGGACTGACTGTCCCGTCGCCGTGTATAGAATTGATTGAGTACTGAAGCTTGGGAATCCTAATAGTGGGTCGGGAAGCTCTGGTTCAGTTTTATGCCAAAAGTCCTCGTCTAGTAGCAATAAATGCCCTATTTATAAGAGGGGAATGGGACAGACTCCGAGCCTCCGACATGAGCGGCACATAGCAAGCATGCACCGGTCGTTACCGAGGCCGTGTTCTGCTACGGCGGTACTAGACTGGAGCCTACGAGGCACGAGGCCGAAGGTCAGGGGCTCGGTGCCCGGACGAAGGGCAGGCGGGCATAGGCAGACGGCTGGGCCATGCTAAGGCCGATCATGGTGCAACCGGCCCAACCTAGAGCGGTCGACCAGATCGGTTCCGCAACCCGCGAGTCCGAGAAGGTGGTACTGACCGAAACCAAGCGGATACTACGACAATCGAGATGTATACTTTATCAATTAATTTACTTCTTTAGAGTCATTTGTCACAATGTGAGTTTAACCACCAACAGACTTTCATGTAGTGATTACGGTTTTTCCATATCAAAGCATGCTCTCAAGTCTCAAGTCTCAAAGTGACTATTATTCTCATTTACCTTATCCAAGGTCGGGTTAACACAGTTCTCTGGACCATTGTGAACCCTCAAATACTGCCATTCCTACTACTACTACTCAATCTTCACTTCATCTTCGTCGACGACAGCCATGGCCGGAATCTCCGGCCTCAAGCCGGCCTTCTGCCCCAATCTCTCCGTCGTTTCGTTCAAGTCCTCGTCCCTCTCATTTCCATCTATAAAGCTATCTCCTAAAATCTCCTTCCGCTCCAAATTCCCTAGTAAGTAAATTCCCCTCCCCTCATACTCGACAAGTTTTCCTGGCTTAATGTTTATGTTTCCTTGCAATTTTCAGGAATATATGCGTTTTCTAGCAATGATATTAAAGTGGGCAGCAACATTGAAGTGGACGGAGCTCCTTGGAGGGTTGTTGGTAATTTTTTTGATTCTCCATTTTGTAAACTTTCCCTGCTTCTATCTTTTCTACCTGGAAAGTTTCTGTTAAATATTTCTATGCGTTTTTGTACAATTTTTATTTTATTTTAATTGTTTACATCATCCAATTCTTGAATTTCTTACTGGGAAATAATGGCACATAGATTATGAGAATATATAAAGGTAATATGGTGTTTGTTGACCCCCTTAAGTTCAGTCTATTTGGAGGAATTGCCTGTCACAGATTTCTGACAAGAGAAAGACACTTAATCCCAGGACAATTTTATTTCTGTTCATCAAGTATAAATGTGTGATTGTGTGGGTTACACAAAAGATAGTGCATTGGGGATTAGGAAGAAGGTTTTGTCTATATTTTGATATTAGTTTGCTTCACTTTTTCACATTACTTGTTTTTGTGGGCATTCATCAGAATTTCTACATGTCAAACCTGGCAAAGGAGCTGCATATGTGAGAACCACATTGCGGAACTATGTCACAGGAAACTCGGTTGAGAAAACTTTCCGAGCTGGAAGTAAGGTAATAGTTTTGGAGACAATATCCCTTGTAGTCAATCCCCCCCTCCCCTGCTTCCTCTATCTCCCTCTCTTTTTCCATACATAATGTGGATCAATGAATTATGGACTCCCATATTTTTCTAGATAGAAGCAGCAGATATTTCCAAGGAGACAAAACAGTTCACTTACAAAGATGGTGCCCAGTTTGTGTTCATGGACCTGGTATATTTCCTTTTGTTTCACAAGTGTACCTAAAGAACTGCACACATTGCAGCTTCATTTACCGTGTGTCTTTAAAACTACAAAATAATTAGATATTGCAGACAGTGGTGGCAAAAAGATGATCTCGGTTTCTATTTTGTTATGCTTAAGTTTTTGGGTGACTGTATTTTGCAGAATACGTATGAAGAGTTTCGCCTCAATGCATCAGATGTTGGGGATAAAACAAAGTTTCTGAAGGAGGGCATGGACTGCATTTTGCTTTTCTGGAATGGAAAAGTAAAGTCCTGTTATTAACATATTGGAGAATTTGATTTACCATTTCACTTATACAAGCTCCTTTTGAATGCAGTTTCATTATTAATTTACAACTTTATGGAATCTCACATTTTGCTTTAACAGTAGAGCACTATGAAGTACAATTGACAATGGTGGTACTAATTTTAATACTTTTGTAGGTTATTGACTTTGAACTCCCAATTACAGTGAAGTTAACAGTAGTTGATGTTGATCCTGGTCTTAGAGGAGACACAGCCCAAGGTATTGTTGGTGGCTATGGCCCTGTTTGGTAAAATAGTTAGCCTATATGCCAATTTTAGTTTATTTGACCACTATTAACCTTTTGTTTTGGTTAAAAAATCAATATTAGTGTTTGGTTAATTAGCTTTTTGTAATTCCAAAATGCTAAAATTCAAAAAGCTACTCAAAGCAACTTTTTCAATTAGCTTTTTGAGAAAGGAAATTATACCAAAACCTTTCTACAATCAGCTAATGTTATCAACTAGTTATACCCTCTAATTAACCCAATCAGCTAACAACTAATAGTTATCAGCTAACAGCCATTTACCAAACATGGCCTATATCTTGTATAGGTTGAAAGCTAGCACGTTACAATTGCAAGAAGGGATAAGATAATTTATTACCCAACATTTCAAATAGAAAAGTAAAGTAGAATCTCATGGGAGATGGATATAACGAGTTACTAGTTTACTAGATTAGATCAAAATTGTTGATTACGAAACTGTAGATGCAGGATATGCATGCCATCAGTTTGTGTTTCATTTTACTGTTCTTGAGTCTGGCTATAATTTTGTGCTGTATGGCAGGTGGATCAAAACCAGCAACCCTTGAGACCGGTGCTGTTGTTAATGTTCCATTGTTCATAGACAAAGGGGTGGAGATTATGGTGGATACTAGAACCGGGCAATACATGAGTCGGGCATAGATTGCTCACTGCTGGGGAATAAGTTTTCATCACCTTACTTATAATTCCCCATATGGATTTTTGAAGCTTCCATCAAAGCCCGATTACAAATGCAATTTTGTAAATCTATGTATTGCATAATGAGTTGATAGATGTATACATTTGCAGGCGTTATGAAAACTACATAGACATGGCTTTCAGCCTTCTGTTCTATTACTAATATCACTGGGTATGCAGAAGCTTTTCTTGTATCTTTAATTTGCATTTCATGAACATATGAAATCTGTGAAAATCCTAGCAGAAGTTAAACATGATTCCTAATTTTCTTGCCATTACCAGAGTTAAGGTGGATGTTGTATGATCAACTTGTTTGTTGATACCATGTAAAGGGATATGAAATGAATGGAATTCTTGCTCATTTATGTTAACAACAGGTTGTGTATTTGGAAGTACAAGATGGTCAATTACCTAACCAAGAATTGTTTATGCATATCATAATAATCATTATATAATTATTCATTTGGTCACTTACATCAACTTTTATTAAACTTGTTTTAATCACGTTAAAAGTTATTATTATTACACCATTCCCAAGTGGCGGAGCGATTCCTTGAAGTGGGTCTTTATAGATTTGTAATTCGAATGTAAGAGAAGATAATAATAATAATAATAAAAAGTCATTTATTTTCCGTTTAGAAATTTGGAAAAGCCATTCCTTTTGTTTTGCAATTGGATAGTCTCTTAAAACTGGTCAACTGAAAAATTTAGAACATTCCTTTATATAAAGAGTAAAGTCCATATCAAAGGCTCGCATACCCACTGACGAATTCATAAATTCCTAACTTGAACTACTCTTTTTAGTTTTCACGTATTAAAATTTGTATCAATCCTAAAAACACATTTTAAATTTATTATGAAACAGTACAAAAATATTTCAAGAAATTTACTTTTTTTTTTTTTTTTGAAAACAGAAATTTATACTTTATTACGAAAGGATCCACAAATATTTTCAGACGAATTTTAAAAATAAAAACATATCCAAAAATAAATTATTCCATAGCATACTTACCATACAATCTACGATCAATTTATTTTGATTATAGTCTAAAAATATAATTTTAAAACCATAAATCCTTCACGTGTTGAGAAACCCAACCCAACATCATATCATTATACAGCTCTCACTCCCCCACTCAAACTCTTACAGCCTACAGGGACACTATCATTCTGTCTTGCTAAAGTGAACCAAAAGCCATGAAAACCAAACCCTTTCCTTTCTTCATTCTCAAGAATCTTTCCTACACTTGACCAGAGTCAAACAATCCCTTTCCCCTTTCCTCTTCATGTCCTTCACGCCTTCAAAACTCACCCACTAAAGTCCATCACTCCTAGGACCCCACACTCTGACTTGATAAAATTGTAAAAGAATAAATCATCAGAGGATCGAAAGTACTCATAAGTTAGGGGCTCATCATATTAAGTAAAACTTCAATTCTATATTGTGACAATTAGAGTTTGATTCTAAATCTTCATACTCAGCTTAATCTATCACCTGAGCTGTCATGCGGGCTCCACGCCTTCAAAACTCACCAAGCGAATTAAAGTCCCTTAGCTTGCTATGGTCTAGGGCTCTACACTCTGACCTTGACAGGATTGTGGATGAGTAAATCATGAAATGAGATGCTCATAATAATAAGTCAATCACATTGAGTGAAACTCTTACAATTGTCAAAACTTGATGTGTAAAAAAATTTATAGTTTTGATTGATTGATTTATTTATTATATTTCCACCGTGTGTTGCAAGCTTGCAATACGAGTTCTACTACATGTACTTTCAAATCCTACTTCCTCATATTTCCTGACATGGCAAACAAGAATATGATATTTTCGTCATGTAGGTCCCATGAAAAGTATATACATCAAGGATTTGTGAGAAGGGGTAGAAATTGAGAATAAGAAATGAGAGTCCATGTAGTATTTTTCCCTTCCAACACTAAGAAACTTCTTTATTTTATTTTATTGTTTTGCTTTGTAAAAAGGAGTTATTTTATGTAAATGGGGTCCATTTTTAAAAGTAAATTAGAATTGTAAGAATGTAAAGAAAATAGTGAATAAATTGCAAATTTGATGATGTGTATTGTGAATTCATTTTTAAAAGTAAGAGAATATTGCGGGGATAAATTCAGCCTAATTGAAGTGTGGGTGCAGGCTTCAAGCCTCCAAAACTGAAAAGAAAAAAAATAAAAATTTGATCTTTACAAGAAAGTGAAGAAACTCTTGGTCGGACACATGAGACTGACCCCCTTCATGATTGAGTGGCATAAAGTTGCAGCACCCAGAAACATGGCTCACTGTCTGAACAAACCATTGTTGGTTGGATATATATATATATATATATATATATATATATATATATATATATATATATATATATATATATATATATATATATATATATATATATATAGTACATTAGTACATTATATTATGCATACACATCACAGATGACATGACCTTTCATATCTATCTATATTCCTTACATTGTACTTCTTCAAGAATGTTGCAAATGGAACATGGATGATTGTTAATGATGTTGTTTTACTGTTTAAGTATACTTCAGAATAATGTCTGGTCTGGGCTCTCATAGTATGTATGTAGCAAGACAGGTGGTGGAGTAATCATTTTATGAGTAGCAGGATTAATTTAGTTGGCTTCATCTTCAAACTTCTTAGCTTGTCACTACATTATTACATATTAACTCATTGTTCTTGTAGGCCTCATTTTTCTTGTCTCCAATCTTTCACATTTTCTTACATTCTTTTAGTTTTATTGGCGAATTTTAATCTGCTTTTGATTTTTGGACTATTATAATATTGTCATTTTTAATTTGACCACATTCAGTTTAACCCTTTTTATTACGGAGTAATATTTCACAATTAATCATTTTTTATAATTTTTATTAAATTAACCTTAATGTCTATGACAATTTTCATGAAAGACTAATCTTTTGGTTAAAAAAGATGTTCATAAATAAATAATATAAGAGTAAGTCGAAGGAAAGTTTTTTGGTTGTTATGGAAGAAAGAGAATGTTGGTGACATACGAGAGAAGATTGAGATTCTTCTGCAAGAATCTATTTTTTTTTAAAAAGAAAATAAAAAGAAACACGGGCAGTGCATACACCCAAGTTGCTTAGCGGGTGCATGATCTTTATGTGACTACTGAATGGCTGGAGTAGTCGCTAATCTGATTTTTTTATTTTTTATTTTGTTTAGCGTTGGACTATTTGTGCGCATAAGTATGCAATATGATGTTATGTCTAAAAGTTATATTGACTTAATTCATCTTCTTATGAGTCTGGGAGTAAGTTCATAAGGTCTAGGATATAGTCTGATAAAGTCAAAAAATTTAAATTGTGACAAAAGAATGATATTAATTATATAGTACAGAAGAGCATGACAGCAAAGCATAATGTATAAACTAAGTGGGGAGTTTTTGAGATAGGTGCAGTATTGAGATGGATGTTACACAACTTTATTCATTACAAGAATGAGTAGGTCTCCTCTGGCCTTGAAATCTGCCTTGGGCTCAAAACTCTTTGAATAAAATAGACTTCACATCTAAGCATTAATCATTCCCCATTTCTACATTTTAAGAAAAACATTGGAAAAACAAGATACCATAATTCTAAAGATTGAATTTTTATGTTCTACTTTGATATATCAGTTCATCACATGTTTATGTTCTTTGGTTGGAACCAAACTTTGCCAGCTTTGAAAAAAAAACAGACAAAATTGCTAGAGAACTGAACAAAAGACTTGGAAAATTCTGTATAGGGCTCTAAGTTTGAGCAATCTGATCCAACACAAAATGCACCAAATTCTTGAAAACCTCAGAAACATTAAAAAAAACAAAAGATTATGTAAACAACAAACTGGGGATCAGGCCTCTCTTCACAGCAAAACTCATGGTTTTTCCAAGTTTATTCCAAATCTTTCTGGCTTTCTGAAGGGGGAGATCTGATGAGTTCCAGGATCCTAATAACCTCTTCCATATCAGGCCGATTCGACGGGACATGAGATGCACAAATCAGCCCAAGTTTCACCACAGGAATTGCCTCTTCCACTGGGAACTTACCCTGCAGCCTCTTATCAATACACTCCTCTATGTTCCCATCTTCCAAACCTCTCCTCACCATATCACAAAGCACAACCACATCGTCTTCCATGTACTGCACGGGTCTCTTCCCGGTCACGACCTCGAGAACCAAGATTCCAAACCCGTAAACATCACATTTTTCGGTTATTTTAACTGTCTGGCAGGCGAACTCGGGAGCCATGTACCCCAGCGCGCTCTGGATCTTGCTGCTTAAGATGTAGCGGTCCAGGGCGGGGAGTAGCCTCGCGAGTCCATAGTCCCCCACCTTTGGATCCCCCGCGCTGGTTAAAAGCACATTTGTGGACTTCATGTTGTAGTGGATTATGTTCATCTGGTGCAAATGAGCTAGCCCTTTGGCTGTCCCGAGAACTATGTCGAATCGCTGCTGCCACGAGAGGCTGCAGGTTTCTTCCCGGTTTTCGTTGTGGAGTAGCCTATGCAGGCTTCCCCCGGTTGCATACTCGTTGATCACGAGCTGCAACGAGGGAGTCCAGTAATAGCCTTCGATGGCTACAAGGTTCGGGTGCCTAACGCTCCCGAGTGTCTTAACTTCCCTCTCAAAATCTTGCTGGGATTTGATTAGGCTCGAGACGTTGAGCTTCTTTATTGCCACAGAACGCCCGTCTCCCAGCTCGGTCTGGTAAACAGCCCCAAATCCGCCTTGTCCAAGCTCGCAATCCTTGTTGAGAAGCGCCTGAGCCCCCGAGGCAAAGCCTGCATCCCCCGAGAACATGACAAGTTTCCCATAGTTTGCTTCCGTGCCATTCGAATGGCTAAACTCATCCCCGCCAGAAAACGCCACGGGGGCAGCAGACTGCCCCCACACAGAAGATCTCACATGAAAGTTGTTGAGAATCGTGACGGTTATCACACCCAGCACGATAAGCACAGCTGCCCCAATGGCAATGAGAGACGATATACTTAGCACGATTCTCTTGTGGCCAAGCGGGGAAAGGGAGGTATGAGCAGAATCATCTGAATTCGGGTTGAGCACTATCGGCTTCTGGTGCACAGCGGGGCACGAGTGGTTGAACACCGAGCCACAGAGGGACGGGTTCCCGGTTACAGCTGAGAAAGGAATGGTGTTGAAGAAGTCCCCCACTGGCAGCTCACCTTCAAGATGGTTATGTGAGACATTAAAAGTGATGAGATGTGTGAGATTGGTGAGCTCTTTTGGTAAGCTTCCTGAGAAGTTGTTGAGTGACAAATCAAGAATCTGAAGGCCTGTAAGCCCTGCAATTTCTGCAGGAATTTGACCAGAAAGATTGTTCTGTGACACAACCCTGCATTAAAGATGCAAACTTTACAGACCCAAAACTGATAAATTCTGAATCAGAAGGCACACAATCCAATTCTTATAGATTTGAGTTCAAGAAATGCTCAAGAAAGAGAACTTACAGAGAAGATAGAGATGAGCAATGTGTGATATCTGCAGGAACCAATCCAGAAAGAAAGTTGCTTTCCAGCCTCAACTCCTGCAACGAAACAGCTCCCCCGATTTCGACAGGGATGCTGCCATTTAACCCGTTGTGACTCAAATCAAGAACTCTAGTCACTTTCAGTTTGCCCACAGATGATGGGACTCCACCAGACAAAGAATTCCCAGAAACATTCAGGACCTGCAGGCTGCTAAAATTCCCAATGGAAGATGGGATTTCGCCCGATAGCGAATTCATAGATAAATCCAAGACTTGAAGGGTTTGATATGAGGGAGGAGGTGTTTTTGACTCCATGGAATCATATTCATACCCAATGCTTCCATTAAACCTGTTACCAGAAAGAACCACAGTCTTCAACCCCAACCTGAAAATCCAGGAAGGAAGGTTGCCATTCAACAGGTTCTTGCTCACATCCAGGACCAAAAGACTAACCCAATTCTCAAAAGAATCTGGCAAGCCCCCCATGAACTGATTGTTTGAGAAATTTACTTCCTTCAAGAATTGAAGATAGCTTATGGATTCTGGAATTCTACCTGAGAAGTTATTTGCAGAAAGATCCAAAACCTCCAAACTTCTCATATCCCCTACCCAACCAGGAAACTCTCCTGTGAACAAATTTCCTCTTAGATTAAGAGAAGTACATAAACCCAGTTTCTGCATAGACTCAGGAAGGGCTCCAGTAAGTCCATTTTCACTGAGATCAATAGATTCCAACATCACACAATTTCCAATATTCTCAGGGAGCTGACCAACAAAACTGTTCTTGCTTAAATCAATTGACCTTAAACCATACAAGTTCTCAACTCCTGTTGGAACCTCACCCTCAAGAAAATTGTCAGAAACATCTAATGACTGTAAAGAGCTCAGAGACCAAAACCCAGAGGGCAGCTGCCCAGAAAGCCTGTTTGAAGACAGATTAAGTCTCTCCAAGGTTGAGCATGAGGTCAAAGAAACAGGGATTATGCCACTGAGGTTGTTGTTGGCAAATGAAACCACCTTTAAAGACCCACATTGTCTGAAAAACTCATCAGGGACTGGCCCTGACAGACTGTTCTCACTCAGATCAATCACATTCAAGCTCTGAATCTGGGCAAGAGCAGGGTTAACAGTCCCAGTGAGATTGTTCTTTGACAAAGACAACACTCTCAGGAACTGCAGCCTCAGAAGACTCCTCCCTATGTGCCCAGAAAGAGAGAAACCATCAAGAACAACCTCAGAGACTCTATTGGACAGAGGATCACATTTCACACCATTCCAGTTACAAGCACTCTCAGCATCTTCACTCCAAGATGCAAGCTTTGCTTCTGGGTCTATCAGCCCAGCTTTGAACACAATCAACCCCAGAACATCATCATTGAAACCCCCCGGGTCTAGACAGCTCACAAGAACCGGAACTATCAATACAACAGTAAATATTCTCCCCAGCATTTCAAACCCAAGAACACAAACCTCAGCTTCTCAAGAACCCAGAAAACAACAAATAAATGGGACCAAAGAGAAGACTGTTTAGAGTGTTGGTTTTCAAAAAAGACACAAACTTTGTTTCAAATGTCGCCGGAAAGTCCAAGAAACCGTCAGATAAAAGAAGTTTCTCTCCCCAGAAAACAAAAGGTTCAAAGTGTTTGACGTTTTTGAAGAAGGACAGGACAGTGGGGGGTCAAATGGGAGTCTTGATTGTGAAGTTAATAAGACTCAAAAAGCTGGGGACTGGGGAGGCAATAGCCATAATTATAACCATTATTACTGCACTTGCAGAGGTGTGCAGTGCTTTATTCAAGAAAAATTTTAACTTTAATTCGAGTAAAGCCATTTAAAGGAGAAATGGGAGTGTTAGTCATTGTAGCATAGATGAGATTTTGACGGCGAAAAAGGAGCATTTGTCTGTGCTGTGCGTCTTTATTACGTTTGGACTGTTCTTAGCAGAAAAAATGTTTAGTATTTAGATTTAGATCGATCCAAAATTCTCAAAAACATGAAACAACTGTTACCGTTTGAATTAACGTTAAACTTGTAGAATTAATTAATCTTTTTGCCTCAATTCTTTTCTTGGGGTCAAAGCGGGATCCGAAGCTGCGAAGCACAGGTATTACCTGGCATTCTCGGTTGACTTCATTTCTGAGGATTCAGATCTGACTTGTACCGGAAAATGGAAAAGCTGCTTATTTATTTCAAGAGAATTAGCATTATCTTAGTTTAACAAATATTATAAATAACAAAAAAAAAATAAAAAATTAAAACGCATTAGTGAATTGTACCTTGTGCTTTAAATGTTGTACTTTAGGTTGGAATATGCATTAAGTGTTGTGCCTAAAGGACACATTTAAAACACAAGGTACAATTCACTAATGCGTTTTAAAGATAATAAAGATAATTCACCTAAAGTGCAACATTATATTTTAAGTTGAAAATAGTTTTAATACAGTAATGTGTGAACTTTGATAAAGATAATAATAATAAATTAAAAACATTGCATTGCATTTAAGCTACGCATGCTTATTTGACTAACAAGAGCATCCAGACAAAGGCATTGTTTGTACTTTGGATTTCGAGTCACCCTTCATCCTTATTCACACTTATTAATGACATGCAACTACTTATTATTATAATCCCCATTAAAAAACAATAATATATTCACATTTATAATAAATTGCAAATCACACAGCATAAGAGATGTGGATCAAGAAATGTTGATAAAAATTAAACTCGTGATCTTAAGTATAAAAATTATGCTCTACCCACTTCATGACCCATTTCAGGGTGGAGTGTCATCATCTTTGATTTATGATAAAATCTAATCACTACTCAAATGTGCATTGTCGGTGAAGCTCGTCTTGCAACTACAACCGACAAATGACCACAACTGACCGACTCAAATCAAACAGGTCAATAGATAATCCCTTCAAAAAATTGAACTTAGAACATTGTGATTACTAAGTCAAATATTTGACTAACTCACATGTGGTTGCACCATGAGTGCCCTTATTTCAAGATAATATATCATTGTTTATAGGATATATGTAATATAAATGTTCACTACGTATGTGTTTGGAAGTCCGAAAAATAATTTGCGGAAATCATTTTTCGAGTTTCCTGTATTTGGTAATCAAAGAAAAACTTGAGTCAACGGAAAATAAATAAGACTTGGCCAAAGGAAAATGAGCCTATTTTTTTTGGATAAACAACTTTCCTTTTTTTTTTTGGAAAGTCATTTTTCCAAACTTCTTCATCTTCAGCAACCTTCATCATGAACTTCTTCATCCTTTAGCACAACCTCCTTCTTCTTCGGCATGAACTTTTGGCACTCTGGTCCGCCAGAAACGAGACGAAAATCATAGTGCCAGATTTTCGGCTACTGAAAACAAACCATTTGATTTCTCCGCGGAACCAGACATAGTTTTAAAAATCAATGCTCAACAATTTTTTAAAAATCTACTTTCTACTATTTTTTTAAACTCTAATTTTTACTATTTTTGCATTCTTTTTTTTTTTTTGTTTTTTTGTTTTTGTTTTTTTTTTTTTGTTTTGTTTTTTGAGAAGGCATTCTTTTTCCTTTTTTTTTTTTTTAAGAAGGAAAATATCATTAGTTGAAGAAGTGAAACTGTCTTTCTCTTTTCATTATTTTATTTTATTTTTTATTTTTAAATAACACATGCATCCCAACTTCTTTAAACTAATTCTTGAATCTCATAAATTTGCCTCCAAAATTCACGAAGAGATATATCGAGTCTATACAACTTCAAGTCCCAACATCAAAGTGTACACTTTTGCACATAAATGTCCAACTCAACTCTAGTCAAATTTTGAAAGCCCCATCTCCATATTGTTGATGACAGGGTTCGAACTCTAAGCCAGTCTTTCTTTTCTTGTTTTTAGATTATTTGGACAATTATTTTTATTATTATTATTTTTTAACAGAGATAAAGGGATAAAGGGCAATATACTATATAGTGACTCTGAGATAGTGAGATGGACAACATTGATGGATTAGGTGATAGTAGAAGAGAGTGCAAGTAAAAACAAAAATGGGCAATGGGCAGTGCAAAAGGGTTGGTAAAAGTGTAAAAGGGCCAATTTTCAACTTTTCAGATTAAACTAGATTAAAAATTTTAACCCTTTTAATCTGAGCATTTTTGTCTTAAATAGATCATTACTCATGATATTGGTGAATAATCATTTTGTTTATCTTATCTTATGTATATATGTTTTGTCCTGTCAAGACAAATTAATTTCTTTTCATCCTAACTTCAAAAATAAACTAATGGTTATGAAGCTACCAAAATTTCTTTCTGCAAACTGGTAATAAAGCTTTGAATAAGTTAACCGTTGAAAGATGAGGCCCAATGTGACCAATTAGATTGAACCGAGTACCGTTATTCCTAGAGCCGTCAAAATGAATTTAACCTATTCCGTCTGACAAAAAAGGTGGGGCGGACTCTGAATTTTATGCCCAGTTAAATTGGCTAGCTTTTTAGCTCAACCTGTCAAATGACCGGTTTTGATTTGGGGGGTGGGGCGGGGGGAGGGGGGGGGAGGAGTTTTTAGAATAGCAAAACTGCAAAAAGGCTATTTTAGGTGTGGAATGAGATGTTGGAATGTGAGACCAAAGATAGGTATATCCCGAGTATTTGTATGACATTTTGGACTATACTATAATCTCTAATATATCACTAATTCCCTTAACTATTCATTTATTTTTAAAATTTTTAATTAAAAATAACAATGTGAATTAGATTAATGATTTATATTTTATATGAATTGGACAAAACCCAATGTTTTATGGTACTTGGGTCAGCCCCATGCCCCCATACGTAGGGCTGTAATTTGGGTTGAGTTTAATTGGGTCAGCTCAAACTTATATTATTTTTATTTTTCATATAGTGTATTTTCTAAGTTCACTAGTGTATTTTTCAATTTTGAGAAGACATGCTTACTTCTCGGTCTCATTATATTAGTAATAGATCTTCTCGGTATCATTATCAAATAAACTTATTGGTCTATTTGCATATAGATTTTTCGATCTCGTTCGGCCGAGTCACCGATCGCCCGATCGGGATATGAACATAAAAAATAAAGCCAACCAAATTCGAACATAAGTACATAACCGATCTCATCCATAACTAAACAATGATCACCAAGCGTCTTACCATGTGTCAAAACTCTAAGGACACTGAGAGGGCATGTTAAACACGGTAAAATTTGCCTAACCTAAAAGGATAGCTCAAGTGACAAATGAGCTTCTTTGTGTAGACGATTCTAGGAATAATTTTAGGTTTGATTTCTACAAGTGACAATTTCTCTATATTTTTGGAGCGAACGGGGATTAATCGGGTGGAGTCGGAAAAACAGTAAAATTTGGCTTCTGAGTCTGCATCTAATCCTTTGCTTGGAGTGTTAACTAAAGAACCACCCACCTTAGGTATCAAACATACCTCTAATCAGACGCCATTCCTTTACTCCCTCAATTCCTGAAATACCATCCAATCTTACGCCCATAGGCCATATCACATGATTCGGAGATTCAAAATATAAATTGGGAAATTTTTTGGAAGAAAAAGAAAACAAAAAACATTTGACAAATTACGCGTCCCCAGACCCCATTCCCCAACGAACACCAACCGCCGACTCATAGCTTGACTCTCAGCTCTAGCCATTGCTACTCAACTCCCCTGATCACCGCACCCATTTCTCTCCTTTCAATCTTCTACAATGAGCTTTGCACCTGCAGCCGAGCTAATCGCAGTAGGGAACCCTAACCCTAGCTTGACTCCCTGCTTAAAGCCGCCTTTTTCCGCAACCAAGCTCAGGTTCGAATCCGTTCTGGCTGTCGGACCTCGTCGCGGCTGCAGAGCCTTGGTCGTGGCTAAAGGCATCGGCCTCGGCCTCCGCCGCGGCCCTGTTTGCAGACGGAGTCTTGGGAAGAGGTCGGTTTTCGCATTTGCAGCTTCTCGTGAGGAATCGGTGAGCTTCTTTTAATCATAAAAATTCAATTTTAATTACATTATGGCGTTATGCAGCTGAATGTTCATTTTTAATGAATTGAAATTTCATTTTTTGGTACTATACCTACAAATGAATGACATTTTATGTATCAGAAATGAGACTTCAGTATACTAATAACGGACCTTATGTGTAATTCATCTTGTAAAGTGGATTGATGTTTAAGGCACTGAAATGAGTTCAATGCCGGTAAAAACTTGATATGTTCTTTACTAAGTTGCTAAATACTGATAAAGGGTTGCAAGTGGTGAAGTTTCTGGAACCTTAAGAGTTGCCACAAGCCACTAGTTGGATTTATTTTACAGAGGCCTTTATTGGGGCACTCTGATGTGTGAGTTTGATGTGCAGTTTATATGTTTTGTTGTTAGCTTTTCGCTCGTTATCCATAACAATGATTCTTGTCGTGAATTAAAATTTCATGTCACTTTTTAGGAGCCTTCAGATGTCAATGTTGAGAAGGAGAAGAGTGATATTGAAATGGATGCTGAAGAATCACAAGAAGCCTGGAAAAAGACCCTAGATTCTTTCAAAGAACAAGCCATAAAGATGCAGAGTGTGTCTCAAGAAGCATATGATGTGTATTCCAAGAAAGCCGTTGTCATTTTGAAAGAAACTTCTGAGAAATTAAAGATACAAGCTGAGAAAGCAAGACAAGATTTGAGTGTCATTGCAAAGGAAATCAGCGAGGAGAGTAAAGAGTATTTAGCTACGGCTGCTGAGAATTCCCCTGAATCTGTAAAGGTTATTGTTGAAACGTTTGCTTCCTCCACTGATGAATTGAATGATGTCTCCAAAGTGAGGGACTTTTACGTTGGGATACCATATGGTATGTAGGCATATAGATTGTTTGCTTGCGTGCACAAGTTCCAGTTTTCTTATTCGTCGGGTTCTATCGGGAACACTTTCTTCCTCTTGGGTAGATGAGAATGCTGGTTTTCTTATTGAATTGTTCATGCTTTGCAGGTGCACTTCTTTCAGTTAGTGGCTTTTTGTGCTTCATGCTGACAGGAAGCATTCCTGCTATTAGGTTTGGTGTTATACTTGGTGGTACACTTTTGGCCTTGAGTATCTCAAGTCTAAGATATTGGAGAAAAGGAGAGTCGAATTCCCTGGCCTTAAGAGGACAGGCAGGTTTGTATTGGATCTAATTGCCTTCATTATTTCATTGTCCGCTACTTAATGATAATCAGCTTGGTATAGATAGAGTGAATCCTGTAGGGACTTGTAAGGTGTTAGACAGTTGGCTACCACTACGCCAAAAGCTATAGCTAGTAGTGAATACGCAACTTTATTTCCTTATACTTGCGTAACAGTCAGCGTCACGTTTTGATGGCAGGATGTTGGACTCGGCTCTCGAGCCGCTGCTCAACAAAAGGGATGCTAATACTAATAGTTGATATATACTTCTAAAATTAGTATGTGGCGTTTAGTTTAATTTTCAGGAGGAGTGTGCTTTTGACACTTTGAAACTCAGATTTCTTTTACTTTTATGAGGATTACTGCTGCATTTACTGATTTATTTCCATTTTGCAGCAATTGCTACCATCTTATTTCTAAGAGAGTTCCGCTTGCTGTTTCAGGTAAAAACTTCTATTTTCCTCGGTCTTATTCTTTTTCCCACTTCAGAGTTCTTTTAATCAATAATGATTTAGTTATACGTCTCACTTGGTGTCAATTTCTAACCTTGTATTATTTTGCTTTGAAGAGAGGATTTATTGTCAACATTATTACAACCTTGATCAGGTTTTGAATTCCTTCTTTTTTACTTTCATGATTATCATATACTATACACTTAATCTTGTAAACCTAATTGATGAAGTGGTCGAGTTGCAGTTAGTGATTGTTTATTGCTAAAACCATTGTATCAGCTATGTAGATCATATGTAAGTCGTTAATAGCTGGAGAAATTGACAGTCAACTTTGTTCCGTGCAGTGGCTCAATGGCAGCGTTCTTTGCCTATAGGATGATAAAAGATGGCGAGCAGACCAAGGGTTCAAATTTAGAAACACAGCCGGAAAATTAATGGTAATGTAAGGTAAATTAAGTTGCTGTTATTGAGGGCTTTCTTCATTTTTGTACATAAGAACATCGTGTTTTTCCTGAAATTCAGGGCAGCTCAGCTCGACTTTGTTAATTGCAATCAAAGAGCTAAAGTATGACCATATGATCTACCACCATCCATCTCCAAGTATCAATGGTTGATTCTGGATAGAATTCAGTGAGCTTGCTTGCTCCCCACATGCCATATTCTTCATCGTCTTCTTCTTCTTCCTATTGTATTTATCCGCGAGCTTAATGCATTATTATACGAGTATTGCCGAGCTTAATGCGTTATTATACGAGTATTGCTAACTGCTAAGCTGTACATTATTATCTATGCTTTGGTTGACGGTGAATTAGTAAATGCATCAATCTTTACCCTTTTTTTCATCTGTTAGGATACATTTCACTCTGCCCTTAATATTCTCACAAAGGTATGGGATGGCTCAAATAAATTATTAATTTTTTTTAAAAAAAATATTAAATTATTTAACAAGGAAAAAATCCAAGTTCAGTTACATAAATCTTAGCCAGACAAAGCCAATAACATAACATCTAAATAAAAGCTAAAGACAATAAAATAAATGATCATGGCAAATTACAATCAATAATTAACTTCTAATTACTTTGAGATTATTAGCTTAAAATGAGTAGATTAATGCAAATTATTACCTATTAATCACAGTATATACACATTATGCCAAGTGCCAACCATGCAGGGGTACATAAATACACAAAATTGTGTAAAAGCAAAAGAGCAAATGAAGTATTTCTGATACGTTAAAAGCACAGTGCAAAAACCACAGAAACCATTACGTGAAAATTCTCTACCTTACTGCAAGTTTCATGCATGTCCTAAGGAATATACACATTTGCTTAGCATCTTTCTCGATTAAACAAGAGAAACAGGCGTTCGAGAAGGCAGTGGCATTGGGTAAAAGGACCTTAAAGCTAAGTTGTAAGGATTTTGGTTCTTGATCTGCAATGGAGGTTTCGTTACGCTAATGCCAGCCAGCCAGCCAGCCAGTCTATGATAGCTCGATGCTCAGACGTTTCCATGAGAGACGTGATTAGGGACCTCCCCTTGGTTGTCCAAGGGCATGTACTGCGCCATGATTGCCCGGATCTCTGAATCCATGTACCTCTGCAGATCAAGAATTTCGGAGTTATATGCAGAGAGAGAAAACGAAAGTCAATCCAGATAGAAGATAGGAACCAACTGGGTAAGTTGATCCTATAGGAATGCACATTATAAAATTTCCTTCCCGACTCTGAACTTCGTCCGATCTGATACCAAATTGAAAGATGTGTTCCATCTCAACTAAAAACTTAAGCAGATAGTATGGCTACACATACTCCGTATAATATATGCTCAACACCTCGAATTTTAAGTTCAGTAACATTTATTTGATATAGGGCAAAGAAACTCAACCAAAGATTTGGATACAAGAAAGGAAATGCTCCCGTGAATGAGTAAAGAAAATGGAGACAGAGACATACCCGGATCCTGTACTTGTACACAGCATATCCTGCAACTCCGGCAGCAGCCAATCCGAAGATGATAACCCAAACAAAGCCCCAGCTAAACTCGGCTTTTCCAGCTTTACCTGCATTTCCCAAATAGAGAATACATCTAAATAAAACCTCATTGAATTTAAGTAGCTAGAAATCAATAAATCTAAAGGAATTAGTGTGGGTGATGCATAGTTAATTGAAGTTAGGACCGTCATTTGAAATTAAGTAGCTAAAAGTCAATATATGTAAGTAACTTGTAGTTAAGTAGCTAAAAGTCAATATATGTAAGTAACTTGTAGTGCTTTAAATAGTAGTAAATCAAAGTTAACAATTGCAAGAGGCCCTATTTTTTTTTGGTCAGGCACCACCTTTAAGCCCGGACCATACTCAGACGAATCCTCGTTCACACCGGGCCGTCCCAATTAAGAGACAAAGTGCTGGCCATATTGGTTTTTTCATACGAGAGGGGGTTCGAACTCCCGACCTCTCTTAAGGGACGAGAGTGCATGACCACTCACGCCAATCAAGCTGGTTAGCAAGAGGCCCTATAAACCCACTTAAATAAACCTTGAAAATGACATGGTCAAACTAGATTCTTTAAAGTCTCTAGCCCACAAAAGGTGAAATTCCCTCGCCCCTAGGGCCCTCACACCCTGGCCCAACAAGATAGTGGAGGGGTAACACGGTGACTCAGTGGCCCATTAAGTGGGAGGACCAGTGCTTGGAGCCCACCACATTGGATGTAACTCCCACACTGTAGTTGTGAGGGCTCGATCATGTGTCCTTGCCCACAATCTACTGAGCTGCCCATGCGGGCAAGGAAAGGGGTAAATTTTTTAACAAGTCTCTTTAAAATGAGAACGGTGGATGTTCTTATAAACAGAGCACGTGTTGGAAACCAGCATTTCCGCCAACCAGTACACTATTTTCATACTTACTTATACATGTGTCGTGCTCATGCATGTACAATAAATTGCCACGGCAACTGCATTCATAACTACCCCATGTGTTCTTGCATTTGCAATCTGGACATTGGCATGCTATTCTCTCCTTGCATTCATCAATATCTGCAGAATGACCCAAGATGAAGGATGAAAATTTCTCTTCAAACAACCAATTATCATCATTAACGGAACTGTGATTAGAACGTTAAAAACTATGGATCATGCTCAAGTGTACCTTCACAATGAGTAACCCCGTCTCCCTTAAATCCCGGGGGGCAGTAGCAACCTTTTGTGTGTTCATCCTGAAAAAGACACATAACATTCACTACAAATTTTCGAAGAATCAACTTAATACCGTTCCCTTCTTGAGATCTGAGAAATGACTATTGAGTATTGAGCAAACTGCCCGTTATTACTCACAACGCAAGCAGAATATGTTATGCCATCCTTAGTTTGCTTCCAACAGCCTCCATTATTAACAGCACATCGCAGTGCTCCAGATGCTACGAAATCAGAAGACAGAAAGTGAGGCCTGGTCCCATCCATCCATTATAAATGCGTTCAATAGTAACACTTCGTGAATTGCTAGTGCACAAATGAATACGAGGCTTTACCTTCACAATGAGTATAGCCATCACCGACAAATCTTACACCTTGCACAGTAGGGCATTCACATACCCGCCCACGGAAAGTGTCCTAAAGTAGAACAGAACAGTGTCAGCTGGTGCTAAAGCGAGCTTGGAAGATGCAAAAAGAGCATGATACTAGCGAAATCAATATACTACAAGTAGATTACCCTGCATGCTGTAATATTAGCAGACTTATCCTTCCAACACCCACCATTGTTCTCTAAGCACTCATTTGTTTGTATATCTGTGAAGAAAATTGAAAAATAACTTGAGAATAGATCTCCATGGCAGACTCTCAGTTCATGACACTATTTGATGGTCAAAAGGATAACTACATAAGATTTTAAAATATACGATCTTCCCACCCCTTTTTGGGTGACGAGGGAAACCAAAAGCCACTACCTAAGGGTGTGCACTGGGTAAACCCCACCTTGTGACCCTAGCCAGCAAAAGACCACAAAGAGGTAAACCAGCCTAGGTTGCTCATAACTGACCGGCTCAAACCAAGAAGGCCAATAGGCTGCTCCTGTTGGACGTCGAACTTATAACCTAGTGGTTACAAATCAATAGCCTGACCGACTTGGCTGGGGTTGCCCCTCTTTATTTGCATTTCTCAATTAGCAAAATGTGAAGTACAACTTGTCCTAAAAAAGTCCATTTCACAGATAGCAGAGGCTAAATTGCCAAGTTACAAGATCAGAGTCAGAGAGTAAGGAAAATGACCATCAGTTAAGCAAATTGCAGGCTCCGTTGTCTCCTCAAATCCCGAGCAGATAGCTTTGAGAACTGCTCCTTTGTCCAGCTTCCCTACAATTTGTATAGCCATTCACAAAATCAGGATTTCCAACATACAAGTTCGTAAAAGTATAGAGTACGGAGGCAACTTCCTATTTGCTTTCGAAGAGTTATACCTCTGTACTGTCGGTTGTTTATAACAAGAGTTGGCAATATAGTTACATCTCCACGATTACCTTTGCCTATCTGAAAAATGAACATAAACAAATGCAAACTCAATTCAAGAAGTGCAAAAAAAGATATGGTAGAGATGAGATGCATCGTTTATCTCAAGATGCACACCTGTGCTTCCTGTTCAGCCTTTAGAATATGGTTGTCAGCATCTGCCCCGGGATCCCCAATACACTTGTCTATCTGTTTAACATCAACGCCTATGTTCCATTGCAATAAACAAGGTACACAATTAGTAACAATCTCGAAAGCCTAAGCAGATCTTTAAGAAGAAACTAACAAAATACTCACATACCAAAAGAATCACAGCTACAAAAGTTGCATACACACACACACATACAAACATATACATATATAAGAAGATAAGATCAGAAATATCAAGTACACACCTAAAACACTAAAAATGAGATGCCAAAATAAGTTCTATGTGAGACTTGACTACATAGAACACTAAATAAAAACCACGGATTGAAACACAATCCAAAATGAACTCCAACCTACCAAGTGCTCGTATCACTTCATTAGCACACTCTTCAGTGTACTTCTTGTCTTTCATTGGGCATCGGATTGAAAAATCAGTAACATAATCCCACCAAAGCCACGGCTTCCCACTATCATTTGCCACCTTAAAGAAGCACGCTTGGCGTAAATTTTGCAAAACAACATCTTTCCCATCATATCCCTTACTAAAGTCTTGCTCGGGGTCTGGAGCACAGTATCTTCCATGGTTAATGCACTGAGATTTGCATTGTTTGCTCAGAGTAAAAGCCTCTGGGCAGTACCAAGTTATGTAATGTGGAGTGAACTGAGTATACCCTTTCTTCTCAAGTATCTGGGCAGCCCCTTTAAAACTCTTAACAAACTCTATCTGGCTCTCACACTTAGGCCCACACTCATCATTAGTGTTTGTCCAAAACTCATACTCAACTCGCTCATCGGGATGGGGAAGAGCCTCCCTCCAATCAAGACTTATGACAATCATTTCCCCTTTAGATTGTTCTTTTTTAATTTTATCCCCAAGAGTCTTGCTAATAAGTGCAGATGGGATAGTTATGTTCTGTAGATAATCTGCCTGGGCATCTTCTTCCTCAGGGGAATCCATTGTGATCAATGGCTCAACCCTATCATCAGCAACAAGAATCGCAGCAGCTCCAGCTCTCTGAGCATTCCAAGCCTTTAGAGTGAAGTAGCATTCTTTAAGAAAGAACCACAAACAAAAAATGAAGCATCTTTTAGAATTAAATCAGATAATCAAAAGAAAAACTAATTAATTACATGAAATTCAACACCATACCTCCTCGATCCACAACAACAAAGATAGGCATCCCGCCGGG